AGACTGTGCCCGGGAGCAGCAAGTCTGCTATACAAAGTCTTTGCGGCAGAGGCTGTTGACTTCTGAAAAATATGCAACCATTTCCAGCCAAGATGCAGAAAGATGGTGCAAATGACTCCACTAACAAGCTTGTCAATTCCAGAGTCCATGAAGTCAATTTTACCTTATCAGCAGAACTGGTGTTTTTAACTGTCCTTGCCAGAGTTTACTTCCTAAACTGATTTTTTTTTACAATTTTTTTTTTGTCTTCCACAAATGATTGAAATGATTTTGAATATGAGAGTGGTTCAATAGGAAAGGTTGAGATGATGGACACTTTCTCAGGGAAACACCAGGGCCCCGCTGGTCGCATAACATGCCGGCAGCGAGCTCTCGCACGGAAACACCCCGAAGGCATCGACGCATTGCTCGACAGATCCCTCTGATTTCTAAAGGTCCTCGGTGGTTCTGTTGACGCATGCTGCGACACGTAGTCACTATCAACAAGGACTTTAGATAAGCTACATGCTTAACGAGGCATCTTGAGCCAAGTGATTAACTATTCCGCTCTTTAACTTGGTGAAGGCAAAGTCAGTTTGGATTTTAACAAAGCACCTGGCAGCTGTTGAGGAGCATGAGTGGTGCACGCTGTTGGCCTACCTTGCTTGGACTGCTGCAGCCTCTGTTCAGACTTTACATCTGGGCCCATGGGCTCCTTGTCAGGGGACTGGCTCTGGTCACTCTTGCCCTCGTTGCTGTCGCTCTGAGAGACAGCGGCCAGCTCCGGGGTGGGACTGGCATTGCTGCTCGTCTCCTGCTTCACGGGGGACGAGTCTGCGATGGAGCTCTGGTTGCTGTTGTCATCTGAGGGAAACCCAACATGAAGGCCTCAGATGTAGAACTGGCCAAAGCATCTATTGGTGCTTTTCCACAGCCACCAAGAACCGAACCGCACCGCAAAGAGCAGGTTTTCCACTGTAATGTATGAGCCGTATCCGACCGGCATGTGGCCTTGCTTAATCATGCTTTTGGCCCTGCTAGTAAATCGAGCTGGCTGAGTCACCATGATCTGATTGGTCGAAATGCACAAAGATACTGGTGTTCTGCATCAATATGCAAGGATTATCTAAAGAAAAAAGGGCATTGTCAGTATATTATTCATTATTAGTAGCATTGCACAGTTATTAATGCATTCCCAATAACTCAGATTCTAAAAATTTCCAACCTCCTACTTAAAGTACTAGAGAACAGCTGAACAGAATGAATTTGTAATGCAAGCTAACGCTAATTCCGCTAGCGTTTGAAGCTAACGTAACAGCGATTCTCACAGACATGCTACCAGAAATTAGCACCTAGTAAATCATGATGTACACCTTGTGCACAGTCAATAAATATTTCCTCAATTTTATGTGACTGTCGGTTTCCAAACCCAGCAACGCCTTTACCGGGTCGACATTTCTGCAGTGGAAAATCAAAATGAGCTGGAATCGGGCTGTGACTAGTGTCATTTCGAGTTGGGTATGGCCTGGTTCCTGTAAGCTAGTGGAAACGCGCCGTACGTTTGCATGCAGGGGCAGGGCCAGAGGGCCCCCATGCCTCAATTGACAAAACTCCTAATTGCACTATAGTGAAAACAAGCTATGGATGCGAATGTGGCAATAGGGGGTATACTGGTTGAGCACCTTACACAGCTTCATAAACATGGGTCAAGCCTTTGGGTGTGTATAGCTATGTATATAACACAGGGCGTACTTACCATGCATATCCATCATTCCGGGGGAGGAGCTATTCTCAGGGGTCGTGACCTCTGACCCACACTTCTCATCTTTACCCTTCTTCTTGTTTTTGCTCTTCTGCAAAACAGCAGGCTTAATGAAGCGGTGCTCACAGAGACCTGCACAAATCCGTTACCACAGCAACTGCATTCCCTGGATACACTGGGGAGGACTGGGGCATCCTTAGCCCAGCGGGGCAACACTCATGCTTAGCAGATATGCCAAAGTGTTGACGTTAGTTCGACTCCTAGTCAGTCTGACACGTGTTACACTTTGGCAGTATGTGTCGAGGAACACTTGGCAGGAAACACCATAAACAGGAAGTGTGAACCTTTTATTGACCTTCAGGCGATTTTTTGTTTAGTCACCCTTGCCATTATTATTTTCAGAACCTAGTGAGCAAACATTGGCTTTTATGATAATTAAGTACTTCCCATTTTACAGCATATTCTTGGCAACTTCCTAGGTCAGCCTGTATCCGTTATCAGAAATGCCTTTCACGTCACCCCACCCTATCCGCTAACCTGGGGACGCACTCAAACAGGCGGACAGTGAGGATGTCTGAAAATTAACAAAATGTGAGTGTGGAAATATCCCTCAGCAGGGCTGTGATGTGGACTCAAAAGTTGCTTTTAAAATTTAAATTACAATTAATTATGGAGCAGTAGGGTAACAGAGTTGTTTAGCAAAGCAAAAGCAACCAAACTACAAAAATGTTATAAAACTTATCCATGGCATTTGAACAAAGAGGTTACTTTAAGAACTTCTGCTGCAGAGTCCAGCAGGTTGAAACTTACATCATCAGTCTTGGGCTCGGTCACGGGGACCCACTTGTAGATCCGGAGCGACGTATCACCGACTGTCACCCACTTTTTCTCCCTGCATAGTAACAACCCCCATCAGTATGACTCCAGCAAGGTTTAAGAAACTGCTCTCTTCCTTGTGAAGTATGGGAAACCTCACATTTTAAATATGTTTACATTTATTTTCCCCATCATTCAAGACACTCAACAAACAACAAAGAGGTCTTGGGACCCCCAAGGTCAGATCTTTAACTCGGCGTAGCAAACATGATGCACTAAACCTTTTGGTGTAACGCTGACAAAGCTGTACAGGGGCTCAGAGGGGACTCTTACAGACCCCTCGCAGGGATACACAGGCAGTGTCTGGCTCACCAGCCAGCCAGTCTAGACGGGGAAAAGACCCGATGGTACGCCATTGTCATCCCTGGGCAGTGCTCCAATTTAGCTGCTGCAGTTGGGCACAAAAGGTATCCCCAGGGTGGTGGTGCTCTGAGAAATGGTACAGCTTGGTACCCATGACAAAGCCGGTCTGGGGGGGGCGAAGGGGCACTGGAGTACTGATGAGCGGGGATTGTGATCAACAAGCCCCCAAGAGTTGTTTAATGTCAGAAGCATTTGGTCAGCAAAAAAAAAAACACATCAAAATCTAATTTGCTTATACATGAAATGCAATTCCAGATTTCAAAATCGTCCTTTAAGAGTGGACTGAGCGAAGTAGTCATTTTTTAAAAATGATTCAATCTTTTTATTTTCATAAAACCAAAATAAAATAGTGTTATTGTGTGTCTTAAAATTTGGTTCGCTATTAGATCCGGGTCTGCGTTGTTATATAGTGCTTAATATGAAAACACTTATGACTTATAAGAATATATTTCTATATTTTGGTTATGATATGCGTCCGTCGACTTGGGTCGCAGTCTGAATTTAAAGTTAACATTGCAGTAAAACATCGGCAAATAATTAAATAATGTGTTTAAAACACTCGGTTTCACATCCGAGCCTAGGCCCAAACAGAAACAATACGGCGAACCAAAACGTTTTTTAAATGTTTATAAGCGCACAAAAAAATATTTTTAACTCGACATTTAAGTCGATATTCCAACCCTTCCGTGATCGCTATCGCCCGAATAATTCGCGACGATCTTATTCCAGTAATCCTTCGTCAGCGTCCCACTAACATCCAATATGGTTAAATATAAATAAAATATATAATGATGGCATCTTCGTGCAGTCGATTGCGATGAAACAATGTAATCTTCGGTAGATTTCAAAGTGTGAGTCATATTGCGTGTTCGGCCATGCACTGCCTCCCCCTCCCAGCCCCCACCGCACGCTTTTTCAATTCGGACTAAAGAGCGACTCTAAGCGCTAAATTTAAAACCCCGAGACCGTATAAAAACTATTGCGACTCTAGAGCGCCGTCGTCATATAGTTACAAGGTGGAAATTATTGTTATGATTTGTGTGTCTCCCCCCATGCACTCCACACAACGCGGCTCCCTCCACCCGGCATTACAGCGGGCTGCAAACAGCAAAGGCTTCATGTGACTGCAACGAAATGGCTTCTGGGTTCAACCCACATTAATGGGAAAAAAATCATTTTAAAAAATCGACACGAGTGCTGTTTGTAATCGGCCCGGTGTGCGATACCGGGTGCGAGGGCGCCGAAGCACACCTGAGCCAAGCGGAACAAGCCGAACGGATTGAATTCAAGATGACCCCGCTTTCATTTAATTCTTTCTTCTCGTCCTCTCTCCTCCCCCCACGATCTGGCTTTCTGGTATTAGATAACGAATAAGGGCTTTTTTCCCTCTCCTTCCCCAGACAAACTTACCATTTTCGTACTTTCTCAATAGCGGCCATAACCCGCTTGATGTCATCTTTCGCTCTACTCCGGGTCTCCGCGCGGACCGACCTGCCCGACATCGCTGCTGCTCCTTAAATATATATATATTTTTTTCTAAAGCTCGCCGGCAGTTCAGACACAATGCAAACATTCAATGTAAGAGCTTTGAAAGCGGGGAGCGCGCCTGCGCCGACTGCAGCGCAGAGAGGAGCCCACAGCTGCACGGCCGGAGCGGAGCTCAGCGCAGCGCGGCGCCGAGAGGCGAGGCGGACGGGCTTTATCGCACTTTGTGCGACGATGGTGCGAAAAAGCAAGCAGAACAAAAGGGGCTCCGGAGTTGCATTGTTGTCGCTGGAAGGAAAAAAAACTTCATCCGGAACTTCGCGCCGTACACCGGCACGTAGACGCGGGGCTGCTCGGCCGGAATAGGGAAGATGGGTTTTAAAAATGTAATACATTTATTTAACAATACTGAAGGGAAATTGATTTTTAAATGTATTTCATTTGGATAAATAATAAAAAAGAATAATTGACACAATATATAATTTGAACAGTTTATTTTTATTTTTAACTTTTCCAATAATACAGATAGGAAAAACACTAAATTATTTTATTTGTGTTGGTAGAAAACCCATTAGTAAGTAAGTAAGTAGAATTATTCTAAATGTACTTCGGATGAAAAATGAAAATATTGGGGGGAAATACTTTTAAAAATAATAAAATGTGTAAATAAAATGTAATAATACAGGCACAAAGGATGACAGGCAAAAGATGAAAGTGGAGGGCAGTTGTACGGAACAGTTCATCATGGAGGTGTCAACGCAGTGTCAAATGTGGCAAATCCAGCCAGGCCTGCGGAAGTCGAGTTCACATCCCTGCGGGGTGGCACCGCCGAGCCGGTGGCAAGCGATTCACACCTCTGGCCGTGAAATCGGGGCCCCGGTGAGCGGCTGCTCCCTTCTGGAGCACACAGGCTCACTGTGAGGGTGGCTGAAGCCCAGGATGTCCCCTATCAGCGTGGCCTCTGTGATCTCGACCGGGACTGTGTGCTCCACCAGGGCCTCTGTACCTGCATCCCACACACAGGCCAGCAAACACACACGTCAAGCACTGCTGGGCCCACGTGCAAGGGCATAACTTTGGGCTGAGCTTTGGGAGGATTGAGGTCTCCACCCATTTAAGGGGTCCAGGTATTAGCTGGATTTGATTATTGGGAGGGTTAAATCCCCCCACCCCCCCATAATTTATACCCAATGTGACATCACATGCGCACTCACCTCATTGCTGCACAGATTTTATTACTGTTCCATGCTCATGTGGGGTCCTTGGATCTCACTCAATGTTCAACTTGCATTAATAAAATATATAATATAATGCACTTTTTCTTCTATATCAAAACATCCCTAAGATCTGAACTTACCAATATCCTGACCATCTCCCAGGTCAGATCCTCCGCTTGCATTTAACCCCAGTAATGTGATGAAGGACTCTGCCAGTTCCTCTTCCGTCATGTGTTCCCCTTATCATGCAACATCACAACAAAACACAAAACCTCAGTGCTATACTCCAGTCGATGAGCCACCTTAATCTGCAGATCAGTTATCATTATGTGACATAACGGTGTTTTGGGGGCGGGGCTCGCTGTTAGCTCTTGTTTTACTTGTGTGAGTCATTCGTTGTTTTTGAATATGCGAATGATACAGAGCCACACCTCTTGCCTGTAGAAGGTCCAGAAGTTCCTCCCTGTTCAAGTACTGCTCTCCCTTTTCATTCGGGCAGCCCAGGAGCTCGAATAAGCGCTCCATCTCAGGCATGTAAACCTCAAATGCTGGCCTGTGGTTGACGTACAGCTTGATGAACTCCTCCAGGTCCACATCCGTCACGTACTCCCCCATCTCAGCATAGCGGCTGAACTTGACTTCATTGTGTATGTCCTCAAGCTGGCGAGGTTCGGGGTGGGAATGGTTAGCCAGACTCCTGTCACCCCCAGGAGGGCTGAGATGAACTGCCCCCCCCCCCCCCCCCCCATTACCTCCTGCTCCGTGGGAAAGAAGCCCAAAGCTCGCATCATGAAGGGCACCTCTGCCAGAGGGATTGTTGTGGACAGCTGCCGGGGCTCCATAGTGTCTACGGCCTGACTGCGCAGCTGACAGTGATAGAAGTAATCCTCCATTTCCTAAGAAACATAAACATAACAAGGCCAATGTTACTTACGGAAGGATAAACCGGCGTTTTAACTTCTGGTTAAAGTTAAATTATGGTCTGGCCATAAATGCGGTTTGATGGAGGGTGTATCTCATGTGGGTCTCCTGTGTGACGGCTCTTCCCATTGGCCACAGCTAAAATCATCTAGCTACTATATGACTTGAACCATTTTCTACCTATTCAAGAAAATTTGCCCCTATGTACAGTACAATCTTCATTTACAATGACAGACTCTTTTTACATTTACAGAGTATAAATATTTAAAAATCACTTGTACAAATAATTTTCCTTTCTACATCCAAGGAAAACGTGGTAATTGGCATAGAGCTGAGTATTTACTGCCCCTCTGTGTTTTTCTTAAAGACTTTGTTATGCATTAAATCTTAAATCCGTTGTTATACTGATAAAGGCAATGATGTAAACAGTGATTAGGCAGAGAGAACGAAGTTCCCACCTTGTAGAACTCCCCCTCTCTCCCTCCTTCCAACAGCCCGTAGAAAGGCTCAATTCCCTGGCCTCCAAGAGACGCCACAGCCTCCAAGGCACTGAAATACACCGTGAAGAATAGTAAAGCAGCCTTATACACTGCCCAAGAGGGCCATCTAGGTCACAACTTACAATTAGCCCATTTCCAACCTGTTCTTACACCTTTGATGGGTCATGAATTCAGTCATTGTTGTCATTGGGATAATTTATAACCAACCGTGGAAAATGAAACCGTCAGTAATTTCCTGCTTGAGGTTGCATTTATTTTCCACTCTGGTCAGGAAATCTGTACACATATAGACAGGCTTTAGCTGGGCCTGAACCTGTTCAAAGGCCCAGCTTGAGTATGGGGCTTGGGCTTACTTTAGGTTAGTCTCCCATGAGAGGAGGGTGCAGTCGACTCCGCCTGCAGTGAAGATATATTTGCCATCGTAGGAGCAGCTGAAGGAGGAGGCGCCGGTTGGATGACAGAGCATGGCGAAGGACTTGTGGGGGTTTCCATCCAAGGGCAGAATCTGAAGCCCCACCTTGGGCAATAAAAGAGCTGGTCAAGCAACCTGTGTCAGTTCCTTCCGCAGAAGAACGATGGGAATCCCAAAGCAAAGCCCAGTAAACAACTATGGTAATACATCCTTATTTCCCCATTGTCTTCTGCCTTATAAAAGCTTCTCTTCTGCTTCTCATGGAGCTCTTGGACCTAGAAGTCCTATGTTTTACCATTGGTCCTGCTAAGGGACTATACCAAAAATGTCTATTCTAGGTATCTGACTCTTCACTAAAATTCATGTTTGGAGTGTTACATCTGGGTTAATTTTTACCGCTGGGGTTTTGTCTTTTGTTGATGCATCCATGCCTTCTGCATTTAACCCTTAAACATGTTTTTGACCCTGTACTTAAACAGTTCAGCCAATAATTAATACAGGTCTCAAGTAATGTCTAGGCAGTGAAATAATCAGTTCCTCCTAATTACATTTAATTAGAAAGGAAAATATACAAATACACAAATCAGTCACCTTATCTTGATTGATGAAGACCAGATAGTGGGTCTTTTGGTTTCCTCCTCCTGACGCGGGCAGACTGGCAATCTTCTTAACAGGAGACCCATACGTGGGACCCAAAAGTGTCTTTCTGCTCAGGAAAAACAGAAAACAGTTACACTATCTGAAAACACTTAATTAGCACCTAATTACAGCAGGAGGACATAGCAGCAATGAATATAGTGAATGCAGTGATATATAAATGTCACTGCAACTCATACATTCCAAGGTGATTCCATGATGATTCAATAGACAATTTTAATACAACCTTACCTTAGGACGTATTTCCCATTGGTTTTTATCAGTAAATAGTACTTTGTTGTTTGCTGATAGAAAATAAAATATTTACATAAAATATTTAATGTATTAATGCAGTTTAAAAACTAAATTGAGTAAACACGTGATGATCTTATGTAATAAGAGGATGAAAGAAAAGACTAAAAAGGCGTGACGGATAGAGGGTAGGACAGGCTGATGCTGACCTGCACATTTTGGTGGTGCTGTTGAACAGCTTCATCTTGAAATGGTCAGAGGCGGTGAGCAGAAAATGCTCTGAGGTGAGCGGTGGGTACCAGGCCATGCAGGTGGGCACGGCGCCCTGCTCCACGCGCTCGACGCTGCAGATCCGTAGGTCATCCTCCCAGCTGCCCAGGACGTCATACTCCACCTGCTCACAAGACCTGCATCACTGGCAGTCCAATCAGCAGCTCTCCAGAACATTTTAGGATGTTCCACAGGGGACTCACCAGCATGCGATCCATCCCAAGGGAGAACAGCCTGGGCTGGCTGTTGTCCAGCTGGACCCCGAACAGGAGGTCCTGGATGGGCTTGTAGTGGCACCGATGCCGGCCCAGGTATCGCCATACTTTCCGTCCATCCTCGGAATGGAGTCGGATCAGCGTCACGGTGTTTCCTGTGTCCTGGAACGGGAACGCCACCGTTATCCAGCCCAGTTCGCTGCCGTCCTTTCAGTACCCTTCATGCTTTTTCCTCACGAGCAACAAGGCCTCGTTTCTGCAGCTCCTCCAGCGACTGTAACACATGCAGCTCAGGGCATATCTAATCCTCTCCTGCCTTCTTTTCTTCAAGCGACTAGCAGAAAGAGACTCTAACCCAACGATCCACGCCCTCCACTCACCGCTGTGGCCAGGTACTGTGAGTCCGAGGAGAAGGCCACATGGCTTATGCAGTGGCTGCTGTATTTTAACAAATGGTTCTCATCATACTGGGAAGCTGAGGTGTCCAGGATTTCTACCGCTCCACAGGTGAAGCCCAGGGCCAAACAGACACCTGTGTCAGGCAAACACATCAGAAGTCTGACTTTATATTGCTTGAATTTTCATATAACACTCTAGTTATGGATAGAGACTATTAATCTCCCATAACTGTCAATCCATCCACCTATCAGTCCATCCTCCCACCCTCAAACCACACCTCCTGGGGACGTCACAGCACCTCTCATTACTGTCCTCCCTAAAATTAGCTCAATTTCTTCACTCCACATTATACATTATATTTATAACACATACAGTCCTACAATGTAATGCACCCTACTCCTACACAATCTATCCCATAACATGTGTTTACGCTGATGCATTATGTCTGTTGGTTCATGCACTTCCTGCTGTAATTATGTGCACTTACTTTTGCACAAACCAGCTTACATGGATCTCACAGATGAGTTATTATAAGCCACCAGATAACTCTAACATTAATGAGATATCAGTGCACAACAGATAGGAAGAAGGATTATTATTTCCTATCTTGGGCTTTTCAGTCGATCGTATTTCCCATGTTATGATAAATACTTGAAGGAGGGGATCATTTCAGCCCATTATATTATGGAGGATTTTAGCCATTAGCCACAGTGCCTGCACCCCATGGTGTTCACCCGTAAGTCCCTTGCCTGGCTACCTTGAGCATCATATGCCAGACACTGTATCTGCCTCTTCTCCTGGACGACCCTGCAGTAGAGAAGCTCCTTCTGCTGGTAGTTCCAGATCCTGAGGAGGCCGCAGCGGCTGCCGGTGGCAATGACAGGCTGACACGGGTGGCAGGCGACAGCGTGTAGAGCCTCCGAATGCCCCCTGAGCAGCATGTGTGGCGGGCCGGCTTGCGGGTCAACGTGCAACATTATGGCGTCGGCTGTAGACAGCACAAACCTCCTGTAGGGGGCGTGGCGTGGGGGTTACATCCCGGCGGACTTTAAAATTTGATTGTTTGCTGTGTCAAGGGGAGGAATGAGCACCACACACATCCTCACCAATAAACAGCATTAAATGTGTTTAATAATTATTATAACGTTATCAGAACAATTATTGATTTGCTGCATTCGGGTAAGTAGACAAATACACCTTTCAGTTAATTTGAATCTCTTCTGTTTTTTGATTGAAACTTAGCATTTGAGTAGTGTTAAGGAAACTGCACCCCCACTCACCGTATGAATGGCTTGGACTCCAAACTGAGTTCTGAAAGCCCCCCACCTGAGCAGTCCTCCTCCCTAGAGAAGGAGATGGACGCCACAGGGCCCAGGCCAAACTGGCTGAGCCGCTCAACTTGCTTGAAGTGCTCATCATAGACGGTGACATGGCCCTGGACATTGCCTGTCACAATAAAACTGTAGGCTGTGTGTTAAACTCAAGCAGCCATGAGGGAAGCAGGTAGCACAATAGTTAGGCCGTGCATCACTATCCTGACTGTGGCTGGTTCGAGTCCCACATAGACAGTGATATGCACATTGTATAAAATAGTAAAATACCAGCTATGAAACTGAAAGTGTCAATTTAGCAAAATGTTGGGTGCTTTCACTATTATATTTACTTTTTATATTTATTTAGCAAATATTTTGTCCAAAAAGAAACACAAATGAGGAAAGCTTAGGGTCAGAGAACAGAGTCAGCCAGCAGCCAGCACCCCTGAAGCAATTGGGCAAATGGGTTTTACTGAAGACTCCAGTAGTAATATGATCACTCCACCGGAAATGGGTTTCAATCCTATAACCCACTGGACATATGCACAGATCCCAAACCCCTAAACCCTAACATAGCTGCTGTCTATACCGACTCAAAATAGTGATGGCAATTAAGAGAAGATTTGATGGTGATAATCACTAGGGATATATAAATGAGGTTTTGTGCTGTCGATCAATGGCTGGCCTAACTAACTTTCCATTGGTTGCCTTATTTATTCATTCATTGGGGGGGGGTGGTATCTGGTGTCTATCCAGACAGCATAGGCACAAGGCTGGATGTGATGGCAGACCATTGCAAAGCACAAATGTGTACAATTTCATACACACACACACACACATTATGGACAATTTAGAATCTCCGATTAGCCTACCTGTGTGTCTCTGGACAGAGGGAGAATAGTGGAGTACCTGAAAGGGAGGGCATGCAAGCTCCACACAGGGCGTGGAGGCGAGATTCAAACCCCCACACCACCTCATCTGTCGATTCTGATTAAGCCAAAACCTTGCTTGTCCTTTCAGAGACTTTAACTTTTTCAACTATTTCAAACTGGAAAATCTGAGTAGACAAATACACCTTTCAGCTCTCAGAATGGACAAATTGTGCAGGCGGATCCACCTGAACCCAAGGATTGTCTCCTCTTTTAACTGCTGAGGGGTTAAACTTAGGCCTCGGCCTGCAGGCAGGGTGTTGGGGCTGTGCAGCCGCTCACTGGATACCTGTCAATCTGGGTCAGCACAGAGATGCCATGCATCTCAAGCTGGATGAGCTTGGTGGCTTTCCTGGGTGGCAACCCCGGGGAGGTCGCACGGTGGGGAGTGTCCCACACCAGCACGTTACCCGTCAGTGTGGCTGTCACGGCCTGCACACCCCCAGGATGGAAGATGGACTGACTGAAGGGGCCCACCGCCTTTTTGAAGGTCTGAAGAAGAAACCGAATGGATGAAGAAAACGTATCAGAAACAGAGCTGATGGATGTCAGACCTTCTGAGTCTGTTAGTCCTCAAGCAGCCACAAAGTGTGGATCATCATGACATCATCATCACGCTTCTATCATTACATGCAGGAGAGTATCGCGAAAAAAACATGCATTCTGATCCAACCTTATCCGAAATTTTGGGTGCCGAAAACTCAAGATGCCCCTCTTCCTGCAGAAGAGGATGAAGTATTATACTTGGAAATACATAAGTTGATTCATTAAAATAAACTGGAAAACACTGAAAGACTGTATACCTTTGTGTGAAATAAAACCCGACTCTCACTGTTACTCAGGAGTTGATTGCTGTCCGTGGGATGGAAGAGGATATGTTGCTAGAACAAATTTAAAAATGTACTTAAAAAATATATACAACTATTATTCCTTTTTGGCCCTAACAGGCTGCTATACCCCATGACATTCATGTTAATGACATGATAAACACACTTTTTACACCACCAAAGCAAATAAGGACTTGATTCAAATAATCATAATGGTAATTCAGATTCGTACCTCGGTACTAAAGCTTGAGAGAACAGACTCCACATTCTGTAGCCCATTGGAGACAGTGTTGGCTCTCATTAAATGCGCAGTACATACTCATCACATCACAGGAGTCTTACCTGACGGCCGTATTCAGGACCCACTTCCTTAACACAGAGCGGGGTTTCTGTCTCGGTTGTCCAGTCCCAGATACAAACTCTCTGTAAAAGATTCATTGAAAATTCATTAAGCCTCAGGTTACTTTTTTCCATTATAAAAAAAAAATTAAGTCAATGTCAATGATTAATAAGTCAACACCCTGTCATACCACATATTTCTGGGACAGTAACATTAAATCTGTTTACACTAATACCAATCCACAACAGATCACAGTGCTTCCTTAAATAATACACCTAAATCTCAATGCATTTCAAAGCACCTAGACCTTCATCATTTAGAGATTCCTGTCATTTGGTGATTCCCTTTCACCAAATGGTCAAAGGTGATGTTAGCTGAGGAATTTCTATTCCTACAAAATCCAACGAACCTGAATCTCTCGGGCTCCAACAGTGACCAGGAGCTTTGAATCTCTTGACATAGCCACCTCTGCAATGCCACCTTCAGGATGGCTGTCAAACAGCGTCCTCACAGGAATGCTGCAGCAAAATAGCGTCTACCAATTTCTATACCTACCACAGGCCAGATAATTAAAAACAAGAACCTGGCTAATTGCAGAAAAACAATGAAAATGAATTTAAAAGAAAGGTTCAATAATTATTATAATGTTATCAGAATGATTGTAATTATTGATTTGCTGCATTCAGATAAGGCTAGGATGTAGGTTCGGTTTCAACTTTGGTAGGGACCAAAATCAGACCTAAATCCCCGCCTGTCAGGTAAGGCTTTACCCCGAGTAAGAGTCCCATATTATCACCAAGCTGTCCGGGCCCTTGTCTGCTGTCACCAGCCATCGTCTGTCTTCACTGGCACACAGACAGGAAACTGGACTGCAGTGACCCTAGGAAACCATGCCAGATGAATGTTATTACAGCTATTTTATTCCTGTTCTTTTTAATTCTAATTTAAGAAAACAGCAATTGTCTTTTGTTCTTGCCATGAAGCATCGAAGTGTAGTGTAGGGATTCTCAAACCTGCCTGCAGGTGGAAAATGTACATAACCCCCCCCCCCCCCACAGCAGAGTGAATAGGAAGGGGGCATCCCAGCCAATAGCGGTATGGCAAGTCATTAATTCCATCCATTCATCCATCCATCCAGGTCAGGGTCATAAGGCAGCAAAGGGCACAAGGTTGAGGTGCACCTTAACTGGTAGGTATGCCATTTCATCACAGGCCATACATATGCACACACTGCCAAACATCATTAGCAACTTAGAGATGTCGATCAGCCTAACAGCATGTGTCTGGGCTGAGGACGGAAACCCATGCAGCACACAAAATGGGGGTGGAATTCAATCTGCGAGCTCTAGAGTTGTGAGGAAACAGCGCCACCCGCTGAGCCACCGTGCCACCCACAAGACTAACTCATTTTCTCCTGCTTAAACCATTACTGAATTCCCCTATACACATCATGTAAAATAGGCAGGGTATCAATTAGAGATAGTTATTCACATGTCAGCTATTTATATTCCACAAGATTATGCTATTTGCAAGGCAATTACAATGCATGTATTGCAATAAAGCAGAGCAGCGCCATAAATTTAGTTAAATCTGTCTTGTGGGTATTCATTAGGACACATTACTTTAATCAAAGGTTATGTGTTTTTCATATAGTAGCAGAGTTCTAATCAGTACCCCTGTTTGGGCCACAGAATTCCACTTCCAGAATGTGCTGTGGAGTCAGAGGTGATCAGTGTGTGGCTGTGCGGGTTGCTTGCCTGGAGAAGGTGCTGGGAGGCGGAGGTGTGATCATACATCACTGCCACATGGGCGCAGCCATAGAAGGTGACCAGCCGCTCTTTGTCCTGCAGGCTGAAAACGGGCAGGGCCTTGTTCATGCCGAAAGCCCACGTCAGAGTCTGGAACAGTAATTCGGGAGGCGACACCGGTTTCTTGACCATACGTTAAAACCATCAGGCCTCTCCAGAGCATGAAAACTAACAGCTATTTTGGAAAAAAGTCCCATATGCATTACTATATTTGAGTAACACTGTGATTTCAGAAGTATGACGAGATCCAATATGAATGTTCTGAATGAATGTGAACTCAATCATGTGAGCCTGGCTTTTTAAAGATTTACATGAATGTTTATTTATTTTGTGACATACAAATTGCACATGAATATGTAAAATCTCCTTACCAGAGGGTGGGTTTTGTGGGGAGACCTGCTCTCCTGAAGGGGAAACAGTGTCCTGGGCGTGGCTGTGTAGACCGGCAAGGCCTCCTGCTGCTCCTGCATGTCACCTAGCCTGTGCCGCCCAGCCACTATCTCACCATCCTCACCCGGGCCAGCAAAGGTCTCTCTTCCCCCTTCATCCTCTGCTGCCCCATTGCTTGCTGCCCCTGCCCCATCCTCAGTTACCCCGAAGGGGCAGGTACTCCCTACTCCGTCAGTGTCAGACATAGGCAGATCCACTCTGTGCTGCTTTTAGCAAGAAATAATCAGTAAAAATCTACAAATGGTCACACTTTGTAGGAATTATTTTATTTAATGTTATTGCCCTATATGTACTGTAACAGATTTTTCCATTACTGCAAACCCGGCCTGTGTCATTAAAACAAAATTCCAAATTTAAGAGCTGTGCAGGTAAATAATATTAGCTATTGGTGTTAGTAATATATGTAATTCATACACCCTGGTGCACATAGTTATTACCATGTAGAATGTACTTTTGACTCCAGAAATACTTAAAAAGTAGTTGCATATTCCGAAAAGCATTCCTGAGCTGTTATTTTCGCACTTGTAATATTCATATTAGCCTAATGGGTCTGGCCATTCTCCTCTGACCTCTCTCATTCAGCAGGTGTTTTTAGTAACAGAATTGTCCCTGATTTTTTTTATCATTCTCTGTAAACTGCAGACAGTGCAGTTTGTGAAGATCCCGGGAGGGCGACTATTTCAGAGATGCTTAGATAAACACGTGCGGCACCAACAAACCATGTTTAAAATCAGCCCCGCCCCCCCTCCCGCAATCCGAACGCTGAGCCGCACAGAAACAGGGGAACCCAATGAACTGCCCACTGCTATGTGTCGGTTTACATTACTTTCAAAAGTTTCTAGCTGAGTAACTGCAGCGCATAGTAGAAAACGACATTAGGATCGTATTAATGAGGGATCTTTGTTTTATGATACTTTAATAATTACAGCTTGAATTTTTAGGCGGACGTTTTCTACACAGCGCAACCCACTTTCGAAAGCATAAATTCAGCATGACCTCGGAATCAGATAAACAGAAAACAGTCACGAATACGCAAAAGAGTCAAAAAAAGTGCTGCCGTAGCACTTACACGGACGACTGTGACCAGTGGGCGGCTCTGACAAACGAAACGGCAGCTTCCTTTACCGTCTAGCGAAAAGCATCCAGTTGCTAAGATACGCGCAGAAGGCTTTGTGGGACAGAGACAAGGCGAATTTAAACTTCACCTCCAAGGCTAACCATGGTGTTATGATCTCGATTTTGTGATAAACGTCACAAGTTCCTGAAGCTGTAGGAGTTTTATTTTTAAATGTGAAAGCACACCCCTGCTGATTGTGTGTGTGTCTATAATGTTATTATTATTTTGTAAACTTGTCTAACAAATCTTGAAGATGTTAAATAATCCCCATGAATTTTACTGTACATTCCTCACTTAACAGTGTTATTTGCTTTTAGATCCTAGCTAATTGTGCCAGGATTTAAAAGCAGACTGTTTGGGAAGAGCTGCCAAATTTAATTTTCCTCTTCACTCAGTTTATTTTTTAAATTACTATAACAGTATCAACTTCTTTTGCAATCCACAGCTCAGACTTGCTAGCCCATATTGTTATTTAATGAGAATTCAGAGGACATCTACAAACAAGAATCAAACAACATTACATTATTACAAATATTGCAAACAAGATTTTATTTCGGTGAAATACATTACAATCAAGGGTCACTGCAAACCAAAAAACAATGTTAGATCTCTTAAGACTCCCCAGAGTGAAAATGTAACATTAGTGAAAATGTCAGGGAAAAATTAACTGCATGTAGAAATGTGTGGAAAAAAGGAGCCTTTATGTTGAAGCCATATAATATCTCACACAATTGTCCCATCTTAATTTCCCATAATGCAATGCTGCATGGCCTTCTGGTGCAGCCCTTCCTTGTATTACCAGATAGGTACAGACACCCATCCACACCAACTGAGAGTGCAAAGAACTTCATTCACATGCTCTTCTTCACCTTTGAAGAGGCACCACATTACACCTGTTTGTATCGAAAAGACAAGCAGATAAGGATTAGTCAGAAATATTAAATACATTAATCAAATACCGTAAAACCTCGGATTGCGAGCATAATTCGTTCCGGAAACGTGCTCGTAATGCAAAGCACTCGTATATCAAAGCAAATTTTCCAATTAGAAATAATGGAAACTCAGATGATTCGTTCCACAACCCAAAAATATTCATATAAAAATTATTAATAGAAGATATAAAGTAAAAATACATAAAACAAGTTAACCTGCACTTTACCTTTGAAAAGAATCGTGGATGGTGTGAGGGAGACGAGAGAGAGGAGGGTTCTTTTGTAGGACGACTTTCACTATAACTAACGGAATCACTGCTATCTGTTGGCTCACTGGAATCTTTTGTTTTTTGTGCGACTTTAACAAGGAACCCATCCAATGACAGCTGCTTTTGCCTCCTTTCCGATTTAGCGGAAATCTGGACATTGCATTGTTGTTAAACATATTCATCGCTCGCACTGCTACGCCCTTATTCGGGTGGTGCTTTTCTACTAAATTTTGACTATACGAGTCAGGCACGCCGACTGAGACTGAGCATGGGAAACAATTACCCACAATCCCACAGCAAGAGAGAGAGAAGAACCATCGGCTCAGTTGTGATCAGGTGACGCTAGGCAGACAAAGCGTATACATAATACTCGCATTGCAAGACCTTGCTCGTTTATCAAGTTAAAATTTATTAAAAATTTTACTCGTCTTGCAAAACACTTACAAACCAAGTTACTCACAATCTGAGGTTTGACTGTACATCCATAACATACTGCAGTATAACTGAAGAGTGGGTTAAAACAGTTGTTTTTTAACATGTAATTCATATTTTACTATATTTTTTACATTGCTCTAAAAGCAGCCATTTTTCTACAGCAACCCCTACAGGTTTGCATGCCTGTATATGGTAATTTTTTACATAGGAAGGGAGTTTGGCCATCAGTAGTATACATAACTAATGGTCTTTGATGCTTTGGTGTTTCCTCAAACGTAATTCTATATTTTTATAATTGAAAATAAAAACTAAATGTTGCAAAGCTAGAGATGGAGAAAGACATAAACAAGCAATGCAACCCCCCCAAAAAAAAGTTGTATCTGTACAATTACGCATGTTACAAGTAAATCTTGAATCAAAAATTAATACGTTTATGCACCCTAGTGTATATCAGTAAAAACTAAAGCAGCTAATGTAGCTTTTCAGGTTGGACACAAATGAAGTATCTCAGGACACTCACCCAAGGAGGCCCCTTCCTGACCAGCGCTGAGGGGTCAAACTCAGATAGACCTTCTGACCACCACGAACTACTACAACGTTCAGGGGTTTCTGGGGTAGGGAGAAGCAGAGGGAAAACATCTTACCATCAGTTTTGGATTTTAAAGGAAAAAAAAATAATTATGGTAATAAGCACTGAACATTCCCATCTATCATTAAGCTACATTGCAGAGGCGAATGTTGTAATATTTCCTGCTTTCTCTGTACTTAAATGGTTTATTTTTATATATTATGAGATTTTTCTGGTTGAGGACAGATACCACGAATGATTGCGCTTTGTGCTTGCTGCACAGACACATGATAATTCACGGACAATCATGAACCAACCCCTTCACTGTGCTGGACCACAGTGGCGATGTTCTGAAGGTTCTGGAAATTTCCGCCGTTGACAGAGCCGAACTCAATTATCTCATCACCAACATGCAAGCCCTAACAAAAAAAGAGACCAGAAGTAAAAATGCTTATTATGGGAAGGGAATAAATATGTTTTAAATCTAAATATTTAGCTTTTATTAACAGAAACCGCTAGACTAAACAGGGATACGTGATGAGAACAGGGTGTTTTACAAACCAGATTTACAACCATGTTTATTAAAGTTATTAAACGGGACAAAGACCGGGACGTACAGACTGGCTAGCGGGGGATCCCTGCGTGACGGTGTCCACGCGGGCGAACGCGCGAGGCAGAGCTACGTCCTGCGTCGCGCTCTCGCCCAGGGCCTCCGCATCGTCCCGCTCTCGCTTGGATTTTTCTCGCGCGTGCAGTAGGTGGAGCGCCTCCTCGATCTCCACCATTATCGCTTTGTGGTCGTTCTGCAGACCTGACCACACAGGCAGGAAAGAGGGAGCAAGCCCCTATTTCATACCCACCATCTGTGACTGTACTGCATTTCAGTACCTATGCCAGGCGCACCTGGGTGCCCGAAAACAAGTCATCCTGTCAGTTTTACGTGGTGCCAAAAGGAAACCTGTCCTTACATGAGATGTTGTGTCTCGCTGTTCGGACCTGGTACAAATCCACATCCGAACGCGGATAGCCTTCCACGTCCACCAAGGGTCCCTTCATGTCCATTCCTTGCTGTTAGAAAAATAGGTTCAACTTCTGGACGATTCGGACGACGGCTTCGAAACTTCAACACCGGTTAGCGGTAAAGCCGAAAACAGTTACACAATAATAATTATTGCCAGAGAATATTTTATAAAACAATCATTTAAGCAGAAAACAGTAATAGTTCATTTCGGGTACATGCATAGTAGTGTTATCAGGCTACTACGCAAACCCAATGTCAGTTTTAACCGTGCTCTTGGTACTAACTTACATCTTCCAGCATATCAAAGTACGCTTTGATCTGCTCTTCGATTTCGTCTTTCTTTTTGACAAGCCTTTGAACATCTTCGACTGTTATAGGAGACTCGGTGTCGTTATTCTCTTCAGTCATTTTCATCACTAACATAACAGGAAATGAAGTCGCTATAACTACGGAACATCAATTAGGACAAAATAGTTCGTTTCTGCTTAATGGAAAGCAACAACGAACATAAGTACGCGCAACGAATAATATGTTGCACAAACAAGGTGTCTGCATATATTTCCATGTTATTTTATTGTATAACATACATTTATATATCAGGAAACTTTTATATTCAAGTTACAAAACATAGTCGGGTCACTTGAAAAGACTTTTTAAATACCATTGTACAGAGTACAACAGTAATGCACTTCATGAAAACTGAAAAGGGGAGTTTTCGTTCACAAATTCAGTCTGAGCCCTTCATTTATTAATTATAACACACCTCTATATAAAATTGTTCAATATTTTGAATTTTAAGTTAATACATAAGGCACAAGTACTAGTGATTCCATTTATTAATATCTATGAATACAAGTCTTCATTATCTTTCCTTAAATTTTTTACATTTATTTGAATATGCAAACGACTTATGAAAACCAGGGCATGTGTTGTAGCGCCACAGAAGCCTGGAAAATAAATTCTTCATAAGTCACCATAATTCTTAACAAACATGAAAGGTTTAAAGTTCCCAGATATTCACCATTTAAAATGTATCCACATTATCATGTTCTATCAAGTCAAAACAAAACAGTCCAGGTCCAGCTGTAGCAGCTGATGCGCACAGGCACCACAGATTTCATTTAAAGTGAACAGTTATACACCGACTTATGACAGAACAGCACCAGCTTCATGTATAACCCGTAGGTATATGGTAAGAAAACAAAATATTGGTCCAAATCCACATTCATTACTCTAATGTCAATATATTGTATAACATACAAAGAATGGACATTTAAATCAAGCAGCATGTTCTCCAAAATCAAACACCCATCACAAAGAGAATGCTTAAAAATCACAGGACCAGGCAATAAATAAGAGGAAAAAATGGTAGACATGAATGTAAACAGAAAGCCAGACATGATTTCATAAATCATGTATTTTACATACAACTCTGAGGTGGAAACAAAATGGACAAGAAATTATGACACTAACTATTTTAAGACATTTTTAAGGTTCTATGAAATGCAGCAACCAAAAAGTCAGAGAAGCTGAAGTAATTTACATTCTGGTTTAATAAGTCTTCTGTGTTAATGGCTTTGTGTCATCTAGATTAATCAAACAGCCCACAGATTTTTTACATCCTAGATTTCATTCACAGTGGCCTTAATGTTACCTTTAAAAGGTCTGTTTTAGTGAGAGCTGTGCTCATTGCAAACTGCTGCTAGTTGTTAGTGTCCACTGAGGCCACATGGTCGGGATTCTGGGTAGTGAGCTCACCAGTCTGGTCAACAAACTGGGTCTGTAGATCTTTCACTTGCCCTGGATCTGACTGTTTTTTGAATTCATTCTCCTGGATCTGCGCCGGATGAGTTCTGGATATGTCCACTTTTGCTGAACTAGTTGGGGATGTGGCCACATTAGGCTGAACTGGTGCAAGAGGGGTTGTGACTTTGCCTGCTCTTGCCGAGTGGGATGTGACTTCATCCACCTGCTGCTGCACGGACTGAACCCACTGCTTCAGTTGCTGTTGCATGGCTTGGACCCCGCTATGGACCCGCTCCTGTCGACCCTGCAGTTCCTCCAGATGTTCCCGCGTCTCCTGTGCCCGCCGCCAGCCCTCGCTATTCATCCTCACGCCACGGGGCGCTAAAGGCCGGCCCTGCATATACGCCTCAAACTCCTCCTGAGTCAAGTTGAGCGCCGACCCGTCAAGCTTCTCGATAAAAGCCACAGCGCAGGACTGAGAAGGAAAACATGAAGCCACTGATTAATGGCACTCAATACATACAAAGGTCCATAACTCAGATGACCAGGAATAAAGTGAATTCAGCTGTATAAAAGCATTTCAATTCAACAATAAGTAAGCGCTCAAAGCGGCAGGGTTGAAATGTGTCTCATTCCTAATTCAACTGGATCTGATTTGCTCTCAGGTAATTTGAGCTTATTTACACCAGATGTTACCTAGAATGCTTTTCTAACAGGGGATCTCAGCCAGTAGGAAATCTGAAACAGAAATGCAATGCGGAGGCTGTAGACGTCAACACACCAGGTTGGTGAAGTAGTATCCACTCTCTCCGGCCATGACGCTGTGCGCCAGGCCAAAGCGGATGACGTACTGCATGTTGGAATAGAGGCGCGGCGGGTTGGCCTTCAGCACCACGTAGATCAGGCCCGACAGGAAGTTGTCGGCGTCGGCTGGCCGACGGCTCGAAGACGCCAGGCCCTGAAACACTTTCCGGCAGCACTTGGACACGCACGTCAGCTTGTCTTGGGGAGCTCGCTTGGCGTCCATCTCAATGATAGCTGTCCAGGGGACATGGAAAGGGGGGGGGGGGGTAGCAATAGATTCCATTGTGATTTAGTATGATATATTTTACACATCCATCATTCCAGTCAATTATACTGGACAGGACTGCAAAGGGCTTTGAGCCTAACCCAGGACCCACAATGCATGAGGCAGTAGACGCCCTGGACAGGATGCCAGTCCAGGTACCTGTGATGGCTGGTAGAAAGGGGTCACTGCCCACTGGCCCATCTCTAGTGCAGGGGACACGCAGCATCTGAGGTGTGACCCAATTGAGTGCCCTGAAAAACATCAACAGAGAGAAGGGCTCATAACAGAGCACATTTACCAACCATCAGTGTGCTCACTAACATAAAAGGAACATATTACAAGCATACATGATGCAGAAACACCAGAGTAGTCATCGCACAGTGTACAAATGTCAAAACAGGTTCTGGCACTAAAGAAAATAACATTGTTAATGTGCAACCATGTAGGCTGAGGTTTCTAAAAAGTCATGAAAAATTATTGGGCAACTGCATAAGAGGACAGGTACAGCTGACTGGCATTACAGGATGGTGCCATTCCGAAGAACAAGGAGGGAGGGAGAGAAAAGCTGCGTGTGGGGTAATATAGAGATGAAAAACAAGGCGGTTAACTTTATCCTTCTCTGCAGGGCCAGGTCCCTCTGCTCGTCGTCACAGCTGTCATGGCAGAAGGCCCACTTGTGGAGCCGAGTCATGATCAGCTTCTCCATGTGCTCCATCATGTGGATGGTCTGCTCCTCGGAGAGGCCTGCATCATGGAGAGAATGCTGCATGGAGAGGCCTGCATCATGGAGAGAATGCTGCATGGAGAGGCCTGCATCATGGAGAGAATGCTGCATGGAGAGGCCTTCATCATGGAGAGAATGCTGCATGGGGCTGCAACACGTGGGCGAGAATGCGCGAACCAGAGCAGCATCAAGAGGGACCGAATTTCCAGTTAGAAAATGTCAGATTGCATATTGTAAAATTTCCTAATGGATTATTTGTGCCGATGCGGTCCTGCGGGTTAAGACTGTGCCTGTGATCAGAAGGTCACTGGGTCAAATCCCTTGGCTGTCAGACTGATGTCATCGTTAGGCCCTTGAGCCCAATAGTTCCGCAAGCTGACTCTGCTTTCTCAGCTGTACATGGCTTTGGATAAAGAGTCTGCTAAGTAAATGCTGCTAAAAGTGGTAAACATGATCATTTCAAACTCATAGGTCACTTCATGCCCAAATACCTAAACAAATAAAATGGGAACTTCATTCAGATTTTATCATAAAAAGATCATTTACTACTGTAGTTTTGTTCTTTCAGTACTTAGGAAGTACACAGTTTTGGATGAACTTTCAAAATAAAGAGTTTTAGGGAACCATTGATTTCCTCACCCGTAATAGCAAAGCTACTTTAATTATATGTAGATGGTTACCATGAAAATGATATAGTGCTGTGTGAAACCAGAGGTATAAAAACATGGGGACTCTCTCTGCCCCAACACTGAAGGTTACGGGTGCAACCTGTTGTTTAGCTAAAGATACGTAAGAAAATCCACTAAAAGGAAACCAATCAGGGCAGCCCAGAAACACCACACTGCACTATATGCTCGACAAACAATATACACAAATCACCCATTAAAGATTATTAAACGTTAACAAAGACACAGACAGACATATGACCACTCCCTTCAAACACACACACACACACACACACACACACAACTGTACTCGCGTCATATTAGCATCATCAGAATACTACTTACCACTGAAATGTCCAGCAATATTCTGGTAGAAGTCCTGTACCAGGTCAGACTGCTTCTGCACGTGCAGGTCCTACAGAATACAAAGAGAAGGAGACAGTAAGGGACACAAGGTGTGCTGTGGAGCATTGAGAGGGGGACAGTAAGGGATACAGGGCAGAGTGCGGAGTACGGAGGGGGGACAGTAAGGGATACAGGGCAGAGTGAGGAGTATGGAGGGGGGACAGTAAAGGATACAGGGCAGAGTGCGGAGTACGGAGGGGGGACAGTAAGGGATAGAGGGCAGAGTGCGGAGTACGGAGGGGGGACAGTAAAGGATACAGGGCAGAGTGCGGAGTACGGAGGGGGGACAGTAAGGGACACGGGGCAGAGTGCGGAGTACGGAGGGGGGACAGTAAGGGATACGGGGCAGAGTGCGGAGTACGGAGGGGGGACAGTAAGGGATACGGGGCAGAATACAGATTATGGAGGGGGGACAACAAGGGACACGGTAGAGTGCGGAGTATGGAGGGGGGACAAAAGGGACACAAGGAGGGGCTGTGGAGCAAGGAGAGGGGTACAGTACATGGTAGGCCTCCATGGTGCTCAGGAAGGCAGTGCAGCGTGACTGTAAGCTCTGAGAGAAGGGCTTCTGCAGCAGCTTCAGGAAGCCGGTGAAGTCGCCCGGCTGCAGAGTCTGGTAGGCCTGCAGCGCCACCTCCTGACTCGCTGACGGCTCTGTGGGCAGCGGGAGAGCGGATCCGTGTCAGTCCGTGTCCATTTACCATTAATCACAGTGTCTTCAGAGCTTGGCTCAGCTTTTAGCCACTCTATGTCAGCAGATATCTGCTTATTGTTATTACTGCGTCACCTCAGCTGACGTTTCAAGTGTCAGTCAGGTCCCACTAAACAGAGGCATTCTGTAAAGCCCTCGAGCACCCTCACCCTCTCTCACACTCTCTCAGCAGTCTCTGAGCATCCCCGCTTTACTCACTGCTACACTAGCACATAAACAGAAAGATCTGGAAAAACAGCATGCCTCAGGTCAGCATGAATGCACCCACTAGCTAAAGAACCCGCCACGACTACATGGCTGGCACTGCGGCAATGTGGGCGTGGCCATGTCACAGCGATACAGCGAGAACCTTGCCGCTTGGCAGGGGACGGCGTGCCCCAGAAGAGCCGCCTCATGGTGTTCACACGTCGGCCCTTCTCTGCACTCTTCTTCTCCTCAAACCTGGAAAAGGTGAGGGAAGTCCCTCCATCGCTTGGGGGTTTGGGAACAGGAGGCAGGAGGCTGGTTTTAAAACAAAAACAGAGGAAAGAGACAGAGCCGATTAAGATCTTTTTGTAATGCAAAACCATGCTAATATACTCTAAGGACAAGTCATGAGGACAACAGTGCGTGTCTGTATGTGTGTGTCTGTATGTGTGTGTGTGTGTGTGTAGACAGACAAACAGACAGACAGATCACAAATATCTGGGTAAACCTTAATACATGCTTGTTCCTCTGAGTGTCAAACATACTTCATATTTCCATTCCACTTAGTGATAAATTTCTTTGGGTCAACAAAGAGATACAGGTTTTTCAATGATCTGAGAAGCGATACATTCAGGAAGAGGCGCTTGTTGAACGACGCAGCAGACGATAGCACCGCCACCTCACCCATTGTCTCTCGCAGCCTCCTGGGCACTGCGGGTCCGCTCACGCCAGCACTTAGAGCAGTAGCCCTGCCATATGGGGTTTCCATAGTAGCCACAGTTGTTCTTGCAGAGAAGCTCAGACTGGCTGACGTGGATCCCTCTCTGCTTTACCGCCTGCATACTCTCACCTGGGAGGAGAGGTACAGAACAGCTCAGAATTCCACACCAGGTCAGTCCAAATGTATGGCCATGCTACACAGGGCAGACTGCAGAGTGTGGAGAGGGGGATAGTAAGGTACACGGATCACTATCAGCATTTTATTCTCTTTCTGACTCTATAAAATACGAGGTTCATACAGGAACAGGACCCTATAAAGTGCTAGGGTATCCATGCCCCTCTGGCGCCCCTGTACGGGAATAGCACAGATTTACAGAATTACAACCAGCTGACTAATTGATGTCTCCCTCTAGTGGAGAACTGGAGAATATGCTGCCAATGACAGCTAATACGAACTAATACGCTCCTCGTGATTACTTCGAGGCCGTAATTACTGCATATCAGCGCAACTCGCGAAAGGGGAGCTTTTCGACTTAGCTAAAAACAAACCTCTTTCTGTAGCGAATGAAAATAGACAGCTGAACACGCTTAGCTTAAGCAGAGTATATAAGATATTTATTTTGTCGTTATAAATACACTTGTCGAGATTAACAGACTATAACAAACTTACCTAATGGGACGCTGGATATTGCTATATATCACAAAATGGGAATAATACTGTGGGAAAATAATCAATTTAAAAAGGCAAATTAATTTTACAGTCTTCGAAGGATGTTTTAAGTTAAACTTGCGATTTGTTCAACCAGCATTTAAAGACTAGGTCGAACAATGCCGATCACATATCTGCGAACAAATTAATAAGTAAATAAAGTTGCACGATTGCGAATCGTAAAGAAATGCGAATGAAATATGGGACGTACTTGCCGGGTCGGCTGATGGAGGGACTTCGCCGGATCCACGACTCTGTTTACAGCTCCTCCTTTAACCCGGAAAGTCTTCGGATACAGAAGGTCAGACCAGTCGGGCGACATTCGCGAAATCTTTTCCATGCCGCAATTAACTTCCCCATAAATCCAGAGTACTCTCTCTCTCACGCACGCAGACACACACAATATACACTCACCTAAAGGATTATTAGGAACACCATACTAATACGGTGTTTGACCCCCTTTCGCCTTCAGAACTGCCTTAATTCTACGTGGCATTGATTCAACAAGGTGCTGAAAGCATTCTTTAGAAATGTTGGCCCATATTGATAGGATAGCATCTTGCAGTTGATGGAGATTTGTGGGATGCACATCCTGGGCACGAAGCTCCCGTTCCACCACATCCCAAAGATGCTCTATTGGGTTGAGATCTGGTGACTGTGGGGCCATTTTAGTACAGTGAACTCATTGTCATGTTCAAGAAACCAATTTGAAATGATTCGAGCTTTGTGACATGGTGCATTATCCTGCTGGAAGTAGCCATCAGAGGATGGGTACATGGTGGTCATAAAGGGATGGACATGGTCAGAAACAATGCTCAGGTAGGCCGTGGCATGTAAACGTTGCCCAATTGGCAATAAGGGGCCTAAAGTGTGCCAAGAAAACTTCCCCCACACCATTACACCACCACCAGCAGCCGGTACAGTTGTAACAAGGCATGATGGATCCATGTTCTCATTCTGTTTACGCCAAATTCTGACTCTACCATTTGAATGTCTCAACAGAAATCGAGACTCATCAGACCAGGCAACATTTTTCCAGTCTTCAACTGTCCAATTTTGGTGAGCTCGTGCAAATTGTAGCCTCTTTTTCCTATTTGTAGTGGAGATGAGTGGTACCCGGTGGGGTTTTCTGCTGTTGTAGCCCATCCGCCTCAAGGTTGTGCGTGTTGTGGCTTCACAAATGCTTTGCTGCATACCTCGGTTGTAACGAGTGGTTATTTCAGTTAAAGTTGCTCTTCTATCAGCTTGAATCAGTCGGCCCATTCTCCTCTGATCTCTAGCATCAACAAGGCATTTTCGCCCACAGGACTGCCGCATACTGGATGTTTTTCCCTTTGCACACCGTTCTTTGTAAACCCTAGAAATGGTTGTGCGTGAAAATCCCAGTAACTGAGCAGATTGTGAAATACTCAGATCGGCCCGTCTGGCACCAACAACCATGCCACGCTCAAAATTGCTTAAATCACCTTTCTTTCCCATTCTGACATTCAGTTTGGAGTTCAGGAGATTGTCTTGACCAGGACCACACCCCTAAATGCATTGAAGCAACTGCCATGTGATTGGTTGATTAGATAATTGCAATAATGAGAAATTCAACAGGTGTTCCTAATAATCCTTTAGGTGAGTGTATATAAAACGCCACTTCATTGAAAAGCATCACTTCAACTTTTATTATCATCAAAAGTAATGGCCAACAATGCTGAAAAGATATCGGGATTTAAAACGTAATGAAAAAGGTTCCTAAGATTTTTATGTACAACATATGCGAAATATTCAAAATATACAATTATTTTCTGCCATTTATGTTTAAATATAACAAAACTGTTAAGTAATACGAAAGAACAATTTCTGTAGTTCCGCAGAGCAAGAATTGTCATATATATGATCCTTTTAAAATTAATTAACTATGTCACGTTGCTGGTTTAAGTTTTTTCTTTTTCGGCTTCACCATCTGAGGCAGTGGGATTCTGAAGGCCGTTCTGCAACAAAAAGTAAATCGATGAGGCAACTCCTTCAAAAATACACTTTCCCATTCGAGAATTTCAAAGTAGACGGTACTCACTCGCATGTTGTGCAGATCGGGCTGAAGTTGCAGAATACTTAATATGGGGATGAAAAATTAAAAATTAGGAAAAGTATAAAATATAAAATTATTTAAAAATATTCTTCAATATCAGAACATGTCAATACATACCAGTATTTATAATTAGGTCTATTTTAAAACTCAGTCGCCTAACTCACGCCCTCTGGTGGCACAGCACTGATCGTTATATGGTATAATACATATTACATATAACATATTACATTACATATTACATGTAACTTGTAGCTAATTATCCTGGTCATGCAGTATTGGGCATAAGGCTGGGGAATACTTTGGATCTGTCTATCACAGGCCACATGCATTCAAATGCACACATGCAGATTAGGTATCTATAGCTTTGTGGGGACCCTCCATTCATTTCTATGGCCATAACCCTAATCACAACTATGGTAACCTTAACCCCTACCCAACCCCAACCTTAAAAATAAGTAACCAAACAAAATACAAGACTCTCTGCTATTTTAGATTTTTTTAAACTTGAGTTTCCCCTTGTGGGGACACCAAAAATGTATCTACGTCAAAATAACAGGATTTTAATCACACACTATGGGCAATTTAGAAGTACCAGTTAACCTCAATTTATGTCTTTGTACTGTGGGAGCAAACCGGAGTACCAGGAGGGAACCAGCTTGACACAGGAGAACACGTCGTATGTGGGGCAAAAACTCTTCCAGTTGCTGCTCTTACATGTTATAATGCCTGGTATAATTATTACAACTAACTGACAGAAAGTAACTACTATCAACTGAGGTCCCCCCCAATGGCTGGGGCTGAGGAAGCCCCTTCAATGCTTTAAAACAAAGGGCTAAAACAAGTGTAAACACAAATGGGTTTTGTGACGTACTCGACAGACAGACGGAGCAGACGTAGCCAATATCAATGAGGCTGCGATGGCAGAAACAGGCCGCCCTGTAATCCACGTGCACTGGGGGAGGCAGGACCAACTGGGAACGCTGGTCTGAGTCCGACAGGAACACCCACTGCACAGGACACACAGACAAGGAGCAATGTGGATGTAGCGTGGGCCTTTACAGCAATGGCTGCAACAGCAAAGTTTACATCTTGGGTTTTTCATCCTCACCAGCAAATACTGGGCAAGGGCAACTTTCTGTGGGATTTTTAGGTACAAGCCCCCTGTTATATCACAGGCCTAAGGAAAAGAAATGGAAGAGTCATTGTCACACAAAGCAAAAGCCTTCAGACATGAATGACAGTCACATAGATAGTTTGTAATATACCTGCTGCAGGAGACCAGAGTCAGAGGCCAGTACACAGGCATCGATAAGGACACCCTGAAACACACGCAAAAATCTTAGATACCTCATACAGGAAGATCAAACGTATCTGAATTTTGTGTCAACAGGGGTCTTACATTTTTCTGAGCAGCAAAGATGACGTTCATGAAATTCATGTACTGCAGCGCACAATCCTCAGCAGCCCTGATCACCTGTTTGAAACGTACAAAACATTTACTTGATGGAAAGTGAATTTGAGGACATTAGAAAAATCCTCTTAATCGCTGTCCTGGTAAAGCGACAATCATAGTACGAAATGTTTTATCTGAAATATTTTAATTAGGGAATGGAAAAACTGAAGCACAATAGTGAAATTTTACAATAAATTTCCAGTTTTATATTTTAGAAGTTAGTTCCTAGTACTCAATGACATGGCAATGCTAGAAACCCACTCAAGCTACATTTATTTGTGATTTAATGATAAAACTAATATCACTTTCCTTCCATTACCAACATAATAAGATATATTTGAGAGGACAAGAAACTGGGCTGCATGGCAGGAATGATGCCAGCATATCCCACAAAGCACCTGGATGGATTGTCAGTCCCCTGCAGGCCACACACACACACATGGGCAATTCAGAGACACCAATTCACCTAAGTCTTTGGATTGTAGGAGGAAACTGATATAACCAGAGGAAATGTGCAGAAATGTGGGGAAAACAATCCAAGTTCACAAACAAAGCAAGGGGCAGGAACGGACGTTATAGTATTAACCAATAAACAGCCGCCCTTAGGAAAACAGAGATTAAGAAAAGCATTTACCAATATCCTTGATTTCATGTCTTGCGCTGCTGGAAAAGAATCAAATAATTATTAATACATGGTTGTATGTATTTGGATTCAGATGATTAACTTTAAAATCACCAAGTTCAAAGAGAGGGAAGCTGAGTAATAAACAGAGTCGCATTACCATCCAGCTCCTTTGTGAGTCGATGAATATCTGAGCAAAAGCAGTTAAGAAATAACAATGGGCAAAAGCCAAGGTACAAAAAAACTAATGCAAATTATGGAAGTAATTCCATTAATTATGGAAGTAATTTCATACATTTACCTAAATTACATGCCGAGTCCTGCTGACCCTTTTTTTCTTAATATAAAACCATGGCCATCCACAACAAGTCATTCATTAAAAATTCAGCACAAAGGGATACAACACAGCGCTTTGGCGAGAGATCCTGCCAGCATGGTGTCAGTCTGGTGGCCGCTTATTTTAGCTGCAAAGTCAAAATACAGCACATCAGGTGATGCTGCTCCCCCACACTCTGGGATGGAGCAGTTGCTGCTTCCAGTAGCAGAGACTGATGACTCACTTCTGGCCATAAGTCTCCTGACCTCCTCGGCAATGAGGTCGTTGGCAACAGACAGGAGCTCATATTTGCCATCCCCGCTACCCAACCCAGAGTCATCTCCAGTCATATCCCCAGCCTTCCAGTGTTTACTGGGATACAGGAAATGACTGTGTGAAAGCAAAAAGGAAGGGGAAAAAGAATACTACACTTGAAAATGCTGCCTATTTAGTATGCAACTGAAAAAAGCATCATAAGTGAGGGATATGCTTACATGCAGCGAACAGCTCTTCAGAATCACACTGATATCTTACCTCTCTTGGCAGTGGCTTGCAATAATGGCAAGTTTGTTAGTCCTGTTCATGACCAGGTGAGAATTCCCCATCACCATCACAGCATCCAAACACTTTGATAATGTGAACTGACGAATGATGATAAACATAATCAACGCACTGCAGAATATATGAGTCAAATACACTTTTTAAAAACATATCAGCACTGAGTCAAGATTTCTCAGAAGCAAGCCGTAACTGTGTTAGTAACTACTGTCGTTTATAGGGTCAGGTCAGGTTGAGGACCATGGGAGCTGCCGCACCCACCACACGGCGAAATTCCTCGGGATCCCCGCTGGCGACCCCCCAGGCAAACATAGGGCTTGTAGGGGTTACTAATGAATTATTGATAATTACTGATCATATATTTAATAGAAATACATCACCTCTGGCTCCCGCTGTGCCTGCTGCCCCCACCAGATTGGGTTAACATCTATCACAATGACCAGAAGACTGATCTCGTCTTCTACGAATAAGAACAAACACTTTCTTTAATCAGTCTGCATATTAAGCCACACTGCAAGCAGTACAATTCACCGTTTAAAAGACCGTGAAGTCAACCAAATGACAATTAATGTAGCCTATTACACAAGGATCAGCTAATGAAATTTATCCCAGCGAAATAAAGTATATCTGCAAATGTAGCCTAGAAACAAGTTGCACCCAAGTACATCAAGAATGACACGTTATACTCGGCAGTATTAGCAAACGCAGATACCATTCTAGGTATAATTTTCATAGAATGGAAGAAAAAGTGGTAAAGTCCATACTGACCCGAAGCCATCGCTGCTTCACAAAATCCCTAATGTGAACGGTCGCCTTGTTTTGACGTCATCACTGTGCGACCAATCACTGGCCGGACAACCGGGCTCGTGAGTGAGGAGCGTTTGCTGCCCTACTGCCTTAATATGAACGGGAAGTATCATGGAGATGGACAGTTAGATAGAGCTGGTTGCGTTCCCATTCCATAACAGAAGCTGACTTATACACGTGGATATATTTAATAAAACGGAAAAAGTAAAAAAGAAACAGCTTGGTAGCATAGTAGGGCTAGCTTTCTGTTTATTGCATCAGAAAGTAATGTGTCAGTGTGTGAAAGCCTGATAGTGATATATCTATTTCTGATTATCAGAAATAAAGTTACCTGTGTAGTTAGAGATCTTCTGAAACTAATATTCCACTCTTACAACGTTCACTTTGCGGCACTAATATTGTTCGACTTCTAGCGCGGGGAGCAGTTTCTTGTGAAACTGCCATTAATTTAATTGTATATTGGTGCTTGTCTGTCAAAGGATGGACGAAGAAGGTATGTAGAAACGGGTTCCTCACTTTATAAATGATGATTAATACTAAAATGATCCTTAATGTGTTCGTGAGAACTTAATGTTTGGAAGGTGCAACCTTTGTCTCCGATCAGGGAGCTTAACCCAGTAATATACGGATCTTTTTCAGAGTTGGTGGAGTACTTTCGGACGCAGATGAGACAGGACCCAGATGTCGCCTCTGCCGTGGCAGCGATCCGGACGCTTTTGGAGTTCCTGAAGAGAGACAAAGGTCTGGGATCCCAGTGTTTGACCGTAAAGTTCATACTGTGTGAAAACGCTGTTACCTTGTAGATTGATGAAGACTGGCCACTGGCATATTTTAACAAACCGAAAGCCTTGCAGCAGACACATATCTTGCTTTGGTGCTGAAAAAAATTGTCGGAAAGGAACTACAGTGGTCCAGATGACAGATGACTATGTGTGGTACCAGTTCATGGTTTGGTACAGTGGTGAGGATTGTGCCATGTTTTATTTTGGCTTGTCAATGAAGAATCTACAAGCCCTCATCACCACCTCAGTGATATTGTCAGGTGTGATTCCCATGTCGCTGGTGGTCTGGGCTGCCAGGGCATGTCAAGGAAGTTCGGATTAATTGTTATTCATGTTGGCCTCCGTCACTTTTGCAGCTGAGACGCTCCTGGGTCTCAGGGAGAATCTGACTCAGGCCATCGACCGCCTGGCTGGTGTGGACTCCTCAGTGGCTGTCTCCTCAGGCGGGGAGCTCTTTTTACGTTTCATCAGCCTCACATCACTGGAATACTCAGTGAGTATCACACTTGCACTTTGACCAGTCACATGAACACGCCACAGGCTTCTGGATAAACTGGCCATTAGAGATGCTTAGCTTTTGATGTTTTAAGATCCGCAGTGTACTTTTGTCCATTGGTAATCCTGACTGCTGCTTCTGATATTAAGGGCACTTTCACTTTGTTATACAAAATAAAATTTAACAAGTTTTGCAATTTTAATGATTGTCCCTTTTCACGATTCCCTAGTAGGCCTACGTGATTTAAAAATCAGTTTAAAGTTTACTGCTACTGCTTTTACATGAGCGATGCGTGTGCATTGCAGTCATTTTCATCCTTGCAGTTTAAATCACTCATAGACTGGTTAGTGAGAAATTCTTTATTTTAAGCTCATTTTTTGGTTTATACATAAATATCCCAGTATTCATTACAACAAAATCACTAAGCGACACTTGATTTTTTTTTCCTCTGTGATTGTGCAGCTCTAGCATGTTATACCAAGTACATACTGTTTTATTTATTGTCAAGCTGTCCAGATCTTCTGGTTCTTCCGACCAGATCACAATTTAAGCTTGGGTCTTTCATATGTCCAAGCATCCATTATCATTATTATTACTTCTTTTTTTTAACTTAATTTATTGCTGTTTTCTGAGTTCACAACTGTTTTAAAGAGGGCAGTTGTACTGTGGTTCAGAGGTAGGTAATTTGCATGAATACATTTGCAAGTCCCACCCCAAAGTACCAAAAAAGTACCCCAGCTGCTTTGGTACTTTGGGTACTAGAATTTTTGGTACCGGTACTCGATCAGAAGTCAATGGGAAAGGGAAAGTACTGTAGCAAAAGTGTGGTACCTGGTGCAATGGAAAAGTACCCTAAGATGGATTGTGCACAAAAATGCAAAGATGTTACTTTGTAAATGATGGTGGGGTAAACCGTGCAATTAAAATTTTCCAAAGTCTAAACGACAGTTATTATGAGCTATTTCCTTTTTTGACATTTCATAATTACAGTTTCCAATCTGGTGAAAAGTGACTGAAGCTAATTATCTGTATGCTAGACACTTAGTGTTTATTCAGAGGGTCTCACTTTATTGGTAATCATCTGAAGCTCCTGGTGTTCACTGGTAACAAAGCCGTGAATCAGAGTAACGAATTGCACTCATCTCCTCGACACTGCTTCTGTTCTCAGGAACTATCACAGTGCAAGAAAGTGATGGTGGAGCGGGGGGAGCTGTTTCTGAAGAAGATCTCCCTTTCCAGGAGCAAGGTTGCAAAACTCTGCCATACTTTCATCAAAGATGGAGCGGTGAGTCTCCTTTGTGCTGCAGATTATGATAGCATACTTTGGTGTCAGGGTTTTTCCCATCGCCATTTATATTGCTGAAGTATCAAACCATGTGTGTCTGCAATCCTGTTTTTTATTTCTTCCTGCTTTGGAGTGAGCAGTTACCCTGTCACAGGTTTCTCTCTGAGTGGGCACTGTAAACCTCCCTGCTCCTCATCACTCTGTGGCTGTAAGATTCAGTGGGAAATCTAACATGTTTGGTGTGCTTTTTATTGAAAAGTTATTTTTCCTTTATTTTCTTCAGTAATGGATGTCTGGGGTCTTCAGAATACGTTATAAATAAAACCTACATAAAGATCATGGAGATTCATTGCTGATGATTGCCCCTCCACTATCCCAGTTAAGGGGCAGTATGTGGCTCAGCAAGCCAAGTGTCTGTGCCTGCGAGCAAAAAGTTGCTGATACAAGTGTGGCCTCTGCAGAATAGCCCCTTGACCCCCAGCTCCCTGGGCACCGCAAGGTGGCTGCCCTTCGCTGTGACCCCCAAACTTGCTCTGACCTCTAATGGAGAGATTGATGGAGCAAAGAGAATTTACCCATGAAGACCAAAGTATCATTATTCCATTCTATTTAACTTGCAGTGTGAAGGGAAACCTTCAGATTCCACAAAAGTGAAAAAAACTCTCATCGGCAAGGACTAAAAATTTTTTTTTTAATCTACAAGTTATGTTTTTGTTGCTATTAAATTTAAACGATTATATGTATTGTGCGTCCATGGTTGGTTATTGTAAGTTTCTCTTGAAGTTTCTCGTTTAAGGCACTCTTTGTCTCCTCTAGAAATTTCGGCCAAGGTACATGACTTTGGTACGACCATTAGGTCAGGGGACGGTCTCACCGCATCCCGTCTGTCATTATGGTTCATCTTATAAAATGTGTGAATGTCTCTGATGTGGCCGAAGAACGTTTTCCCAAGAAAGACTGAATTATATCGAACCATCCTGTTCCAGAAGCATCCTACATTTGACCGCATACATGCCCCACTGTAAATTTCATTTACAGAAAATCCTGACCCACTCCTCGTCCAGGGTGGTCCTGAGGGTCCTGCAGAACGCAGCCGCTGACAAGAAACGCTTCACCGTCTATGTCACCGAATCACAGCCAGATTCTGCCGGGCAAGTGGGGAAGCGCTACATGACGAGTTAGCCTTGTGGTTAGCCGCCCACGAGCCAGGCCACCCTGCTCGACACCACACGCTTTGGTGAACGTAGGGGCTGGGTGAGTATTTGTGAAGTCTGATCTGTGAGCATTGATGGACTGTTGTTGTGTTTTAGGCAAAAGATGGCAGACACACTAAGGAAGCTTAATGTCCCCGTCACCGTGGTGTTGGACGCCGCAGTCGGGTAAAACACCGCAGGCATCATTGCGGATTCACGGGGGGGGGGGGGTGTCACATGGGATGGAGCTCATCCTGTTACTGTACTTTCAGATACATCATGGAGAAGGTGGACCTGATTATCGTGGGGGCCGAAGGGGTCGTGGAAAGTGGTGGAATCATCAACAAGGTGGCGTCTCTTTAAATTCAGCCCAGTTTGGTTTTACATGGTGCCCATCCAGACCTAGTTTGCAGCACAGCCCTGGTAGCTTGACATCCCAACCCCCCCGAGAAAATGTCACCTTGGGCCTCTGGTTGGGCTGGCAGTTCCAGTCGCTCAGTGGATTTTGCCAAGCTGGGGGGATTTTGGGGCCCCTACAAAGTGGTGGGCCAACAGAAACTGTCATGGTGTCCATGTCCCTCCGACGTCCCTGGTTTCCAGAGGGCACATGACAGTCTGCGTTGTTCATGGCTGCATAGCACTCATTGTTCTTTGGTGTTTGATGCACTATAGAGTTTGGCATGTGGGACTGCAGATGTTAAATAAAGGAAACAGTTAAATTTCTCTTCTGGGAAAGTGAATATTCCCTTGCATTTCTGTCTGGTACGCTGTAAGCCTGCTGTATTATGTACCATTGCGGTAGTTAAAATGTCCTGACTGCTCTTCCAGATTGGCACCTACCAAATGGCAGTGTGTGCCAAGGCCCACAATAAGCCCTTCTACGTGGTGGCAGAAAGCTTTAAATTTGTCCGGCTCTACCCTCTGAACCAGCAAGATGTGCCCGAGCGGTTTAAGGTGTGAACGCCTCCTCCTCCTCCTTCTTCTCCTCCTCCTCCATAAACCTCAATCTTACCGCTTTCTTTTTCTTTTGACCCCCCCCCCAGTACAAAGCAGACACCCTGAAGACGGCAGAGAATCTGGCTGAGGAGCACCCCATGACCGATTACACGCCCCCCTCCCTGATAACTCTCCTCTTTACTGACTTGGGTGTCCTCACTCCCTCAGCCGTCAGCGACGAGCTCATCAAGCTGTATCTGTAACATACTTGACATCAATGAGTTCAGCCAGCATGGAGAAATAAAGATCTTATTGTGTTATGACACACTGTTCGATGATGTACGGCCACTTGCAAACAGGAAGTGATGTCATTGCACCTACTCAGCTCCATTCCCAATGACACCGTTACTACTTGGTGACACAGCATTGATAAAATGCAATTTCCTCACACTGGGTTTATCAGCTCGTGTGTGTGTTTATGGTGAGGCATTCGGGGGCTCATTTTCAACTAATTACTCTACTGAACCTGCCGATTCGCCTTTATATTGTGATAATGTTTCAGAGAGAGCTAGACCACCTGCTTATACTGACTGCCAAGACTTGAGTAAAGGACCACACATGTAGCTGTTGTGTAGGGATGAGAGGGTGTGCTTGTTTTTAGTTACTTGATTAATTGGCTGTAGCAACTGCATGATCCCAATAATATAACCAAGGTGGTTCATTAAGCTGTAATTATGTAAAGTTGGCAGGCAATTATATAAGAATTACTTTTGGTCCTTTAATAAATAGAACATGTTCATTGTTTAGTCAGCAGTTAGACATTTTTTGAGCCTAATTATTTAGGCATAAATCAATTATATTAAAAATGTTATGGATTTAAAAACAAAAAATGACAGATGAATAGTTGGAAGGTAAATTTATCTCAGGTAGGTTTGTGCATCAAAGACCAGACAGCCAACATTTAATTGCAAGAATGAGAGCCAGCAGCCCAAACTAATGGGCTGGTAAGAGTAAGAGCTGGGAATCAGGCACAAAACCCCCAATCTCAGAGGCTGACAGGTATGTCGTCCTCAGAACTAAACTGAACAATCACAGCTAAACACTTACACTGGCTTTACTGATGTACTAATCAGCAGGCCACCTCACCTGCAGTCTTAAGGCGTGACTTAGGTGTATAGTAATACACTCAGGTATTGGAGGGTCTGGGAGCAGAGTAAGACCCTACCAACTACAGGATCTGACATGGCGGCAGCAGGTGACGCGTCTCAGATACTTGCCTGTACATTGACAGTCCACCTTAAAAAAAGCCTGTAAATATATGTGGCCCTTAAATCATATCACTATGAGTTATTCAGCAAGTACAATGTTTGACTGCCAGCAATGTTCCAGTTAATGGGTGAAAGGTCAAATTATGCAATTATTAGTACTGGACAGAAATTAGACACTAGGGTTTTTAAAGGGATTATTAAACAGTCAATAGTGTCATTTTAATAAACATAAGCATGGGATTTCAGGGGCTTCAAATCTGAGGCACTTACAATTAACCAATTACCTTACGGGCAGTAAAAAAAAAACAAAAAAAACAGGTGCTTGTTTAAGTTGGGATACAATAAAAGTACTTGAAATCATACATATCCCTAGACTCCCACTTTATCAGATACTGAAAGATTACACTACACTCCTGGTCAGTTTACCCATAATGCCCCATACCTCCAGTGAAATAGGACCAATCAAATTTCAGTTCTGTGATGGCTCCTGGTTCATGTTTGTGTTCCAGTCCTACATCAACCTGCTCATCATGTAGTGTAATTAATACCCCAGAAAGGTTCACTAAAAACAAATTTATACTTTATTTCAACAATGAATATATAAAGGGTTAAAAAAAATCTTCCCCACTTGGCAAATAACTATAGAACTCAACTCCAGTTTTTATCTATCGTTTCTAGGTGTAAATATACCCAAAATGATACCCAAAATCTGTGTTGTGTGTAGATGTCCATGGAAAAACACTTAAAATACTATTAAAAAAGAGGTTTTGTTTAATTTACTACACCTTTCATGCTTTACAATTTTGGCTTAGCTGTTCTCCATTACATTGAACTACCAACAGTACTCACCGCAGTCCAAAACAAACTGTGGTTACAATAATTTTCCCCCAAAAAGAACAAAAAGATTAACACAGAACACACTGAATAACCCAGATATTAAGGATGTAAACCCCTTTTGCCGATAGTTTTCCCCTTAATTATGGGACAGTAGCACAAGCTCTTTACACACCCTCAGCACTCCTAAAACCGGGCTTTTTAAACCACATCCTCTAAAACCAGTACCAAGTCTTTACAACTAAAACTCTTCCCCAGACTTCATGTATGCCCGCTGTGGACACAGGAATGGACAGAGAATGTTTTGGCTTCTGTTTAGCAGAAGCCACATGAAAGGTGACTCCTGAACAAAACCATAAGCTGGTTATACCCAGAAAAACATGTGTATCTGGTAAAATTAGACTAATGAGTCTAAATGCTCATTCATATATTTAGGCCCACTGCTAAGCTGCTGACCCAAATAAACATGTCCAAACCTCTACTGTACAGGTTATAGTATCTCGGCTGCTAATCCCGGGCTCACTTTCATCAGCACAGGTGAAATGCAGAGCTTCCTTGCTGCTGCATATCACAGGTTCTGTCCATGGTGTTTCATACAAAGCCAATTCAAATAAATAGGTTCTCTAAGGGTGAAGTTTGAAAATGAATTATTAATTGGGATATTAATTAGAAGTGAATTTAATACAGAATGTGGGGGGCGGATTCAAAGTCAAAATGATGCCTTCAAAAGAGACAGACAGGGAAACAAAACCAAATGGATATGGGAGAAAAAACGGAAGGCTTTTCAGAGAGTGGGGTCTTATTTTCAGTCTTAATATAAAGATCGCAGCCACTGGCACCTGGCAAACGGTGAAATGCTCCGGTGGGGGGTGGGCAGATGCAAAAGGGGGGAAAATGCTTTCTTCTTTTAAACGACCCTCCGCACTTCAAAAAACCTCTTCAGGTAGTAAATCTGTCCCAGGGTCATGGCGACCAACACCAGTGCTTCGAAGAAGGACCACAGGACAACTCTGCTGTTTGTGTTGTCATTGACTACGGTACAAGGGGAGAAAAAAGAAAAAAAAAAACACATCAATTAACCAAAAAGTAAATTGTAATTAAAGTGAATAAGCCACTTCACCGTGTGTCTTACTCGCTCTGTGTATCCTCTCCCGAACCTCCATGTACTCCTGCTCGTGCTTAACTGCCGTCATGGCAACCGCCAGCTCGTTGATCATCTCCTCCAGCTTGTTCTGGTGCGCTGAGAAACAAAGAAGGGCAGGTCACTATCTCCCAGTACAGCCAGACCACCTCCTAGCGTGCATGGTGACCAAACAATGCCGTTTAAATCATTCCACAGAACTACGTACAAATAAGACTTCATAATCTGGATAACCCACAACCTGCCTGTAAACAAAATGTAATGACAATGCAGTCCGCTTACAGGAAAAACTTCTTTTTTTAAAGCACACAAACAGAGCATGCACAAATTAAATCAGTTAAAGATACCCCCATTTACTTTCAGTTCACAGGTTAACATTATGTAACAGATTACAAAGTTCTCATGTTAGTCTTCAAGACTATCTCTATAGAATGTTTGCTCTCTTCCTAATGCTAACCTGGTGCAAGAAGATTGTGGGCCTTCATGATTAAACATTGGGGGTGGTGCTGTTTTAATATACTTGTTATCCCATTTTCAGACATAACAAGGTAAAATCCTCTAAGTACAGGATGTGGGATTTATGGCATGGCGGCAGTGCACACATACACTAATCATAACCAGGCAGAAGCAGGTAGGTATTCGTTAAGGAAACCTCACACTCGAGCACGGAGGTAAGAGGCATTGCAAGAAACAAAATAAACACTATCAATACTGCGGTTAAGGAGGAGTGCCACTGAAACATTAACAAAACATGACACAGGTTATTAATCAAACTTCTGTTGCCATGCAACAAAAACCTACCATCCCAGGTGTCACCCCCCCCTGAGGAGGAACAAACCAAGTGGGGGTGGGGGAGGAAACAGATCCAGAGGGAAGATGAAGAAGAGTAGGGGGAAAAAAGACAGACAGCAGAGGGAGAGGAAGCTTTTCAGGAACACGTACAGGTGATAAGGAGTGTGTGCTCATGTTCTGTGACCAGCCGGTGAAGTCGCACTAATGCAGACATTATTACAACCTGTAAAGTGAGCGATTCGGGGAATTTGTACAACCCCAAAGCTTTACAAAAAATATACAGCTAAAAGACAAGCCAATACATGATAATACACATACATGACTATGTACAACTGCATGTTACTGCAGAGGGGAATGGAATATGTAGCCCTACTCTTGCATACAAGGTGCTTGTACTGATGTATATTACATGGCATCAAAAATAGCAGGTGTGACAAACCCATTATTCCATTGTGGTGGGAAAAAACAAATGCAAATAGCTATTTAAATTACTAAAGACCAAGAGGAGTTCAAAAACTGACAGGCTGATAAAGCAGATCAGTGAGAACAAAGGAAAAGGAGGAGTAACCTGGGCATAACTGAGATCAGAGTACTCAATGTCCACGATTACACAAGCGAATAAGACAGTATAAAAGCACCTGTAGTGTAAATGCCAGTAAGCTGTTATAAAACAGATACAGAAGCAGACAAACATACAGGATCAATCAAAATCTAATTGAATAAGGTGTTATTAAAATACAGCTAAACTGCAGGGGGTGAAGACCACAAATCTTGGCTGTGCACAGACCCCTGACCCACCTTCCGTCTCCATTCCATCTCCCTTGGGCGCCTCTCCGATGTCAATGGTGAACATGACGATCTTGGGTGTCATGGTAGACATCTTGTTGCTGAAGCAGAACTTGTACGTACCATCCATGTGGGCAGCCACAGAGTACTTCCCACTGGACTCTCGGTCGCCTTTATAAACCTGTTTCTCATCTGGTCCTGTAATCTGTGGTTGGGAAGCAAGTTTCACACTAATATTAATGCATGGATGACTTTTTTTGTAAGAATAAAGTAATGAAATGTCATCCAGCCATTCATCCTTCGAATGCTTATCACAGTCAGGGTCGCGGGGAGCCTGGAATCTCTCAGGCAGCACATGCCGTAAAGGTTGGGATGGAAACTGCTGGACCAGCCGTTTGGCATACTGGGCATTTTCCGGGCGGCCCAGTAGGTACGTGGGCCGGCAAAATTTATCGTGGGGAATCCCCAAGTCCAGGGCCGATATTTATTCTTAGTCCCGCGCTAGATGCCAGTAGTTTTATGTACAAGTTAACAGAATGTATTGCGGTGATAATGTCACACATGTGCAGGCCGAAATCTACAATGAAGATCCCGCTTTGGTCGGAAAACTTTGTCAGTGTGATTTAACCTCATAAACAACGAGATAATTCTGACACAGACATTTTGTTTTGTTATTGTAAAAGGTTTTCTAACTAAACTGATGGTAAGAAAACAAAAACTTAAAAAATTAAAATGCAAAATCCGGACAACAACGAATTTGGGCGCTGCGGCATGAGGGCAGACACCCGATATCTTTCAAATTTAATGTGGAAAATGACCAAGTTTGAAAGGTTATTAAATCTTGCAGATATGGCATTGAATTTTATCTTACTTGACGTTCACGGCAATCCCCTAAAGACCAACTCTTCCAGCTGTTAACTACTCGCCCGTGTTCATTCCGGGAAATGAAAGCATATCCGGCGATCAGCCAGCCCAAATTCATTCTGTTTATTTATAAGCGATGCTAATAGTAATGGGATTGCTTTATATAAAGTGCTAGTGCATTTAACAAAGCTTTTTCATCTGCGGTCGTTGCTTTCTTGGTACAAATGTACAAATCCAGAAAGGTGTCAATCAAGCCCAGTAATTGAGCTGTGGAAATTTTAAGGCGTCCGATACCACTGGTGTTGTTTTTCTCCCACCAGCCATGTTGCAGCTGTACAATCGGCTCATTTTGTTCTGCATTAAACACCACGCACGGTTAGCGACAAAGTGCTAGGCCCAGTTCTGCACCTGCACGCGGTAGTACAGGAGCGCTCATCCGCGGCCTCACCTCCACATCGATGTCGAGGAAGCCTCCCTCGGCTACCTCGAACATGAGGCCCATCTTGGTGCCCGAGTTAACGCGCTCGAAGAAGCACTCCTCGGCGTGGGCATCTATACTGACAAAGTACCCAGAAGCAGTGGCGGATAATACTGCCGCAAGGACCAGGAGTTCCGAAAAGGTGTACATTTCTTCTTATTTATCGCCCACTCTGCTCTGGGGAGGTGAGAGGTACTCCGAATCCGTGAGGTTCCGGCGAGGCATCAACTTGCAGAGGTGGAGTTTGCGTTGACGAGCCTTGAGAAAGGAAACGTGAGCCCCAGCGAAAGTGCCACGTAAATCCGGACGGCACGCAGCGAAGGACAAACAGAGCGCGCATCGCCCCCCTCAGTGGGTGACAGGAGGGGCTACCTGTCACAATAAAAACTCTCGGACTCTAAAACTCCGTCGCCCCCTGAACTTATATGTAACGTACGTCACATTAAACGCTAATTTTCACAAATTTAGTTATTCATTAATTTAAATATATTACACTCAAGCGAGGCCGATTAAAACTCACGACCTCCTATCTTTCAAAGTAACCCAAGATTGCAAATGAACACCGTTTTCATTCTTTTAACAAAGCAACCAGGGGGAAGACTATACCACGAAGCAGGATTAAGGGAAAGTCCGACTTATTTCGACAAGTGGGAGTTCCATTCCATCAACGTCCCTTAAATGAATCCCCGCTGAGCTACCATGGCAACTTAGGCGAGTGAACAAGTCCGCTCTGGACCAGGTTACCTGTCTCGCTTAGTTACGCGTTGTCTCAAAGAACGTCCGACGTGTGGGAACAGATTCCCAAAAGATCGTTCCGATGGACGAAATTCAGCGTTCTCACTACACGTCATGTAATAAATATAATAAAGCCTATAAAAACCACGTCTCCGCATTCTAATTAATACCAAAATAATTCAAATAAAAGCGTACCCATTCTACAAAGGTCAAACATGGAATGCAATAACTGAAATTGAAAACATTTTTATATTTAGTTTAGTTACTGCTACTTTAAAAGTTTATTAGTATTTTACTAATACAAAGACAAGATTCGGTTATTTGTGCAGAACATTTCACAGTTTCACACGGATGCGATTGAAAGTATTTTACGGAAATCAAATAATACAGAACAACATTATGTAGTAAGAATGACACGTGAACCCAACCCAGAAGGTTCCCTGTTGACTCTGGGGATCGAACCAGGAACTTTCGCGGTAGGCCTATAAGGCGACACCATGAAACACTGTACCATCATGTCACTGTATTAGGCATTTGTAACATTTACATAATTTACGCAATTTGTCTGCAATTCTTTGTCAAGAAAACTCCCTGGCTTTATTTATGGCCACAGTATTGCCTTTTTTAAAGCGATTACATCTTTGTATTTTTCATACAGCTGAATCAGCAGCGTTTGTTCTGCGGCAGAAAAAAACACTGCTCTCGTACGTTTCACACGTTTTCCGACTCATTTGATTTATCTATCGTTCATCCATTCATTTAGGCTTCTTAAATATCTCGGGTGTGCACACTAAGTGAGACTATGCAAGTGTGTCTTGTATGAGCTAGCCTTGATTAATTAAAGTGGAACTGGGTTAGCTGAACGACATGAGGATTAATTTAGAGATGGCGCTAGTTTGAATCAGACTTTTTCGGGAAAGTCTGGCTTTCTTTAGCTACTTTCATGGAATAACCCCAGGCCCATGGGCAGGTAATAAAATTACGGGTTTGAACACGTCCCCTGTAGGCAAAATCTTTCCCGAGGGCGATACCGGCAAATCTACCGATGGGTTCTTTTCGTAGGGCTACCGGACACCCCGTGAAATTTCAAACTTACGGGCCACATATCTATGTGGTAATGTAGGCCTAAGCAATATTCAAAATAGGGGCGTGACTAAGGCTGTTTCAGCAACCCCCCCCCAAAAAAAAGATCTTTAGACCCCGTAAATAAATCCACTCCAATTACTTAAGTATGTGCTGGGATTCATGTAAATGCTTAGCACCCTTTTCATAAATCCTTGGTGACGTTCCTAATTCAGAATGCTTTTTAATGTTAAATTAAATTAAGTTCTACATTCATCGTTATTTGCGACATAACAATGGTTGTATTCAATTTTACTGCATGTTGGAAAACTCCACACGTGCTCCTAGGTGTAGGCTACATGACATGGTAAATTCCCCTGACGACGTTACTTAAACCTGCATGCGTACATAGGCTTACGGTTGGTTACTGGTCAGCTTTACTAAAGAACAATTTTCAGAAGAAATTGTATACATTTATCAGACTGGATGCTTTTTAGTTCTCTGTGGATCCTTTGCAAATAACAGCTAAATATATATTTTAAACGTTTAACAAAAAAGACTGTGGCAATAATAGTTATTCTATTTCTTAAACATTCAAATGTTACTTTTCATACGTATCTCGGAGTTTATTTCATTGCTGTTTGTCCTATTTCCTTTGCTTTGAGCTGTGTGATCATAATTAAAAATAAATGCAATGTATATTATAAATTATTGATCCAGTGACATTCAAATAATATATGGAATATTCAGATTGTATGCATTATGACCATGTAACACAGGACAAACGAATAAATCCTCACAAGCGGCAGGTATTTTAGCTTTTCTTAAGCACGTTGTTTCAAAGACCAAGAAACTGAAAATCAGTAAGGACAAATTATAAACATTAAAAGATAAAAAAGGGTTACAAAAGAAACTGAAAACCGATTTAAAATGAACCCATTAACGTTTTATTTTGACGGTAACCATAATTTAAATAGACTAAGTAAAGGAAGACATGTACTGTAACACAATTAAATTGAACATTTGGTTACTGAAAATCTGTCTGTGTACCGTGTGAAGCTGTTACAAAAATATTTTTTAACTTCAAGGTAGATTAAGTTAAGGCAATAAATGTGAGAAAATTATAGGCCTATTTGCATAAAGTAAGGCATATACAGTAGGAGACATCGAGCCAATCGGGCCTTATTAATGTGATTACCAATGCATGTAATTTTTCGTGCATTTTATTAATGTTCAAGCAAGCCTACTTGTCATGACCAGAATGAATATTTCCGTTTTGTTCCACACATTTCACTTTTAAACGATTAAAATATTTATATTGACAGACATGATTTAATGATGCGTGATGCATTCAACAAAGAACAACTGGAGCATTCGACAATTTCCACCGTACAGAAATAGTTTTGTAAGAGTACCATTTTCATACAATAGTGAATAGCGTAGTGTCGTTTGTGTACTTTACTTTGCAACCATGAAATATGTTGTCCATCCTGCTAGCAGAAGTGCTCCCAAAAGCACTGTATAGCTGAAGAGCACAAACTTCAGCAGCTCCTTGAGAGTCCGCAGGAAGCGGATGGTCAGCGGCTCCACATCAAAGCGACAGGCGTCCAATTCCAACCGTGATCTCGCCATGTCTTCCTCGCCAGACTTGGCCTGCCAAGACAGTGTTAACAACAGTATACACCCGTCGTTTATTACATATATCCTATCTTCATTTTTCCCGTTTACTTTCTTCAATTTAGTACTTATTAGACCCAAGAACAGGAACTGTCAACCTATGTAAATTATTTGACAAAGAGCAGTAATGTACTCTGGTTGCGCAGCAATTTCATACATTTTTAATACTTTAATTGCTCTTAATGTTCTGCATGGATTCCATTAAACCTCGGTAGCCCCAGACTCTTCAATATGGTAGACACAAATAATTTATTAAAAAGTAGCCTAGTACCTGTGTCTTAAACACTGTTCACTACTGTATTAATGAGTTAGATTTTAGATAAAAGAATTTTAAAATATACGGCATTCTCATTATAATCGAAATGGAATTACCTATCCTTGGTGCTGAAACAGATTTAAAAACCCATGCGCGCTTCGTACAAGTATCGCATATAATGTTCGTTAGCTCAAGTGAGATAAAACTAAATGTTATGCATGCGACTTGAAAACATCTATACACTCTATTCAACACACTGCAAAGTGCATTTTTAAATCCACGTACACTTCCATAAATGCCGTTTAAAAAGATTTTCCACTATGTTCAAAGCACTAATGGCAATTCTTAAATACACAGACATTTTATTGGGACACGGGATGACATGTATCGTTATATTTAGCCTATTGCAGATTAATGAAACTGCTAATTAATTACAATGAAAGGATTCAAGAAAAAATAATCGAAGGGAAATAAAACAATAACTAAAATAATCTGTAAAATAGCCTAGATCTTATTAGCAATACTCACTCGTTCACTGGATTTTACTTCTTGAAATTAAAGTTGAAGTCCTCGACGCACCACAACGGTTCCCTTAGCGTTATGATGGGAAAACAAGGTGATGTTGGTAGCCACAAGTCGTAATGGCATAGGAGCGGCCAAGGGCAATTAAATTGATTGCAGGAGTCAAAACCCTTGGGTTTCCTAATGGAGAGCAAAGCACAGTCACGGGCTACACGTGCATCTCCTGGGTGAGTCCGAGGCAGACTTTCTCAGGCTCAGTCTCCTCACGTGTTTCATAAAGCTGTGTCATTGTTCCTCTCATAAAGAAAGATTTCCCATTCGATCCCGGTTTCTCTAACTTTTCTAGTATTTATTAATATTTCGAGTAAATATAATCAGTAAAATGGAGTTGAAGGAAGGTTTTCACCAGCACTTTTGTGCTGTTTGGATTTTGATGTGCACAAACTTATTTTTTTCGTAAAGTGTACCTTTCAGTTATTTTAAACTGTCACTTGTTAGTGTGTAGTGGCGACACATAGAGAAAAGTAAATTTTACCGAAAGCACGGTTGGACGAGCAGATACGCTAATGTACGCAAAGCATAGCCTACATTTGAACCGACATTTAAGGCCTGACGATCTATACTCCGTGCCGCTTCTGTCCGTATGAGTGATCGGCTTCATGTCACTACTTCGTACTATTTTCCGGACAAAAGGTTCCTGGCGCAGGACACGGACCTGCTATCGATCGGAGAAAGATCAAACTCAAGCGTCAACCGAGTTATCTTCCCCCGAAACAGGGAGCAAATGGCCCCTTAATTCAATCAGCCCCCATGCTATCAAATCATTGCCTGATCCAGACCATAAGATCCAGGAATAACCGGCCTATTATCTGACTGATGAGTGGCTTGTTAGCGGTAATTGCTCCTCCAGAGAGCCTGGCTGCTACCGGCGCACCGAGCTTCCAGTCTTTTTAGGTCCATCTTTAACTGCTGAAAGGAAGAAAAACCCCTTTTTGGCTAATTTTTATTGATGTCACAGACTGCTTCAGCATCAAATACTAATCTGTACACTTTAGGCGAGGTGTCTTTCAAACCAATAATGGCCATGATTTAAATCACATTTACATTTATTTAGCAGAGGCTTTTGTCCAAAAATGAATTAATTGAATTTGATTTATTGTGAGAGAGGAGGGTTAGCATACCGTGCAGATAAGGAACAATGGTACCAATGTGCAAAAAAGCTCCATGGGTGAGACTAGCTGCAACTGGGTAGGTGGTTTGTATCTGCAGAACAATACCAGTTAAGTAAACAAAACTGAACCATTTGACCCTTATCTATCCATTTCACACAGACCACTGCTGCTCATTTGATAGTTTATTTACAAAAAAACCTTGAGCACAGCACAGGTGTCACAAAACAGAGAAAGGTGAAAGCCCAACACAACATGTAATGGACGGGGCTCTGGGACACAGGTGGCACTGGGAACGGCCCAGGAGACCCCAATGGTCTCCACATGCTCCTCAATCCCTTTCCATCTGGAGCTGCAGCCTCCAGTCCTGGTGCTGCAGCCCAGTCAAATAATCCCAGTTCATCCCTTCTGCACACAACAGGTTTTTGAATTGTGCATGAAGGCTTCTTTAGTTCATTTTGGCAGATAATCAATAGAATAGAATGTTTAAGCTCTGACCTTAAACCGGCATGCACACCTGTCACTGTCACAGTAAGGAATTATCTTCCGGAACTGTCTTAAGTAAAAGACACTGTTAATGAAGGAGCAGATGGAGAGGGACAGGTACGGCTGGAAACCTGCTAACAGGGACACGTGTGATGGGCATGTTCAGCTCCAGTGTGCGTAGGAGGGCTGGGCTTTGGTAACAGTCAAAAGGATCATGAAGCCACAAACTACAGAATCTTAGCAATGCTTCGACTGATACAGGCAAGATGGCTGTTTGGAGCTGGGGAGGGATCATCCCTTGAGGAGGGAGCAGGTGATCTTGTAAAACATAAGGCTGAAGAGTCCTGATACCCAGAGCACAAAGCCTCCTCTCACGGGCAAGCCCGGGGGGGGGGGGCAAACAGTATGCCCATTAGGGCGGCACTTCCAGCCGCTCCATCAGGGACTTGATGAAGCTGGTGCCGTTGATGAGCTTGGTGGTGGCGATCACGTACTCTGTTCCCCCGTCCTCCATCTGGGACAGGAAGCGTAGGGCGGCGATCTCAGCGTACGTCACGCCTCCCAGAAAGAACACCAGCGTGATCCTGTTCTCCCCCTGCTGGCCTGTGGAGGTGGGGCGACAAACAGGCACATATTCCGCTTTCTGCTTGACATCATCAAAATGGACTCCTCCGTACCTCCAGCTGCCCCCTCCCAAAACAGCCCTCCCACGGTGTCATCAGTAATTGCTGGATTATCTTGTAACCCCCCCACACCAATTTAATTATCACTTTCCCTGTACCCATACAGTCCCAACAAGCAGAGGCACGTCTGCCAAAACACAGCATCTGAGAAACATGGTGCTAATTAGCATGCATCATATCTGATGCACCACGCCCAGTACTGCTGCAGGAAGAACACAGGGAGACAGCAGGACAGTACTACTGAAGGACAATACTACAGATCTTAGTAACTACAACTCACCAGGTAACATGCACTAGTTGCAGAGCGAGCAAGCAGTAACAACAGCTGATGGCCATGTATTTTCAGGCTCACTTTCAATATTCAAGTCTAGACTAAAAACACACCTATTTAGTTTAGCTTATAGGGACACTAGTTCTAGCTCTAGCTAGCTTCTCACTCCCAGTTAAACCGATAGTGTGAGGTGTAGAGCTGGGTGGGGATCGGTGCCATTGGCTTTGGATAAACTGAA